ATTTCCCACTGATGCGCTTGGGCGCTGCTTGCTCCTGCCTGGCTCAGCAGGTGGCGCTCCACTCGCGCTGCCTTTCTGGGCTACACATGGGCTGGGTGGACATGGTGGATTACCGAGCAGCCGCGGCGGGGGTGGGAGGGGGCGAGGGCTGCTCTCTGGCACTGGTGGCAGGCAACGGGGACGGGGAAAGACAGAGGGAGGGGGCTCCTTCCACCTCTCCCCCTCCCATCTAAAATCATAAGATAAAATATACAAAAGCTTGACATTTTAAAGGTTTTTATCTTTGCCTGTCGGACGGAGGACATTAGGCTAAAAAGGAGGACATGTCCTTCTTTTGCCTGATGTCTGGCAACCCTAACTTGGGGAAACTCTGCAAGCTAGATTGGGGATGCCATATTAAGTTTATAGCCCCGGGGTTCTCCATTGTTGTCACAAGATATGCAGAAATATGCCAGTATTATTCAGATGTCTGCATTACTTTGACAATCATTCCCAAATAATTCCAGTTACCGCTGCTGCATATAAGGTTGCTAAAACTGTGGATATCACCTTGTGCAGAGGTAGGCATGTGCTGGAAGGCCAGAGGCTACTTTTGGTCTCCACGACCTACCACAGGTTATACCAACCCCACCCTGTCAAAGCAAAACTGGAAGATAAACTCGATTACCAGCCATGTAGAACCCCTTTGGGAACTGTTGAGGAAGCTGGACAAATGAAGTCCAGGGAAGCGCTGCACCTTGTTTCAAGGCAAAACAGCAGCTCCTAGAAGCTTCGAAGAGCAGGAACAGCCATTTTTGCCTATTTTGGGGGAATTCCAGGATGTCTCAGAAGGACTTGAGGGCTGCAAAAGAGAGGAGAGTGTCTGGAGGGTACTTACAGCCCTTGTATGCCTATCAACCAAAAGCAATCCATTGTTTTCTTAAGTTCTAAAGTAATAGAACATTATTCAGGTCACCATTTATGGATGTTATGGACACACATTCTGCAGACTTCTGTCATGTGAGATCTTAATCAGGTTGTGAATGGGAGAAAGGGCCTCCTACCAAATAATGTTTAGCAGCAAACGCCGAGCGGCCAGATTTTGAGCTGAACTGTTAGCTTAAATCAATAGGCTTCAAACACGAAAGATATGAACTGTATTTTCCTTTGCCAAAAAATATTTGCTGTATTGAAATGACATGATTTAAATTTCACGAATAAGATGGTGATAAATAGTAATAAACAGAAATGAAAGACATCCGGAAATTTCATGCTAGATCTACATCAAACACCCTTTTTTGATGTGCGTCTATTGCCAGATCTGCACCACAGCCTGATAAACACTAGTCCGGGTTATTCTGTGAGGTATCGCAAGCAAAAATAAGAGCACTTAAAACTGCTTCCTTTGGACTACAGTACAGTGCTTAAGAATCGGCTACAGCCAATGCTGGCTGGGGAGTTCTTCGAATTGTAGGAGGAATAACATCAATGTGCTGAACAACATCCAATTGTGTGGGAAACTGGGAAACAGAAAATGTTCAGAATTCTAAGTGGAGATCCTGATACCTGATATACTCAAACACAGTTTTAGGGTTGACTAGACCTCGCCTATTTAGCTACAGAGAAGATATTTACGGGTAATATAGAATTTCTTTTTGTTAACTTCACCCTTTGCCCACTCACCTTTGATCTAACAGATCCAGCAATGAAGATCAATGCTGAAGATCCTGACAGGATCTGGTGAATATGTGTTGGGAGCTCAGCTGAGGGATGAAATCAACTTGAGGAGGATGGTTTGACGGGGGAAAGTGCTGCCCCTTATTGAGAATGGAGATGTTACTTCTTTTCCCTCTGTGTGTTAACTTCACCCTTTGCCCACTCACCTTTGATCTAACAGATCCAGCAATGAAGATCAATGCTGAAGATCCTGACAGGATCTGGTGAATATGTGTTGGGAGCTCAGCTGAGGGATGAAATCAACTTGAGGAGGATGGTTTGACGGGGGAAAGTGCTGCCCCTTATTGAGAATGGAGATGTTACTTCTTTTCCCTCTGTGTGTGCTAAACATGTAGCATTGCAACTATATATCGCACATGAGTATCATATGCTGGGAAGAAAATATGTACTTCCCAAATTGGCTGGGTAATGTTCTGGCTGAAATTAAAAAAAAAACAGAGAAGATTGACAAGGACTTCAGAGTAAACTGAGTGCAATGAATCATGGTGAGGACAATACCACCCCCTCATATGATTCGTATTTGAAGATCACGGGGCAGGATTGCCCACTCTGATCACTCCTCAGTTAATCCCATTGATGTAAACTAAGGTTGCACACTAATGCAAAATAGATCTGTGGAGGATTTCTGCATCTGTGTTAACATTTCCAGAGACTGCCGAAAGGATGCAGAAGACATTTAATGGGTGCAGGCAGTCATCATAGGACCAAACAAAACGCTTCACCAGATGTGATTAAGGCATGCATTTGGAGGAACTGTGCATAGTTTCATTGCCCTATCTTTGTAGATGATTGCATGCATTTGTGGAACAGTCAAGTTAATTCTGCTGAGGTGAGCATTCGAAAATTAAGCACAGCAATGATCATGAATTAAATTAAAGGCAGATGAGAACAAATAAATACCACCTTTTTGCTGTAAGCTACTTTTTCTTCCTTCAGCTGTTGGCTTTTTCAAGAGATTGCAAATTCCTTCTTAAGTGGACTCCCCAAGAAGGAAATGTTCCAAAACTCTACACAGGATAATGACTGGTAAGTAACAGTAATTAGGTATACCCATTTTATTATTAAAAGGTGGCGTAAGTTCAGGAATTCAACTTTCTCCCCACTTATATTTTCCTAAGGCATGTCTATCTGTCTCACCCTTTCCTGTGTCGCTTTCCTCACGTTTCCCTATATTTCTCATTTTTTTTCTTCCAAGCATATCATTAAAAAGGGCACTTTACAGTAAGAAAGACAAGCTCTCTGTCATTTTCCTCATAAGTTTGAGTCTACCCTTTAGCTGTTGCATCAATTATTTGAATAAGAGAAAATTATCCCTGTATTTAGATGAAATTAGTAGCTGGTTTCTGACTACATTTAATTTTCTAAAATGAAGAAAGGCGAACTAGAGCATTACACTAGGAGTTAAGGATGACTGGCAAACATACAGTGTGTGAGTGTGTTTTCTTTGTAATATCTTTTCAGCACTTATTATCCCTTAGTATATTCATGAGGGTGAAGTATCTTAGCCCTATTGGCATGTATATACTACCCCTAAAGTTTACTAGGTACATCCCCACTTCACACATTTAACTTTTACTTGTGTATATACAGTATAAGAAATACATACACAGACAATTGTGGACATATACTGCATTCTCTGCATTTCTTCTATAACTTCACTATCAACATCTCTGTGTGTACTGTGTTTATACAGAACCCTGAGGTAATACTTCATGTACAGTATCTGAGGAAAGAGGCTATAATCCATTAAGCATCATGATGTGCTATCAAGTCAGTTCTGACTTATGGCAATCATTTTCCCATAGAGAATATTCCGGAGTGTTTTATCATTCCCTTCTTCTGGAAGTGTCCTGGTACTGTGTAGCTGTGCAGCCAGTTATTTACCACAATGACTTATCACGCCAGCATAATCCATATATGAAATAAATGTGTTATGAAAGCATGATCAAATTGAGAGCCTTTTCTAAGTTAATGTACATTTCCTGTGCAGCTTGGACCAATTACAGTTGCTGAATTAACTCACATGGGAATGTTTATTTATCACAGGAAGATGCTTGTCAACAGTCCACGCAGTGGACTGAAATTAGCAATATTTCTCTCATGCCTCCCTTTCGCTCTTCTGGCATTAGTACTGGACTGCTCTCTTCCCTTCATTCTTTTCATTTTTTTTACAGCTTGCTCCCGCCAATTCCCCAGCTGCGGGTGAAGTCATGTCTGAATCCAGGAACTATATTCCTTCCTCTTCTTAGTGGTTCATCTCCCACAATATATTAGGGGCTCCTCCTCCTCTCCCCAGTCCCTTAAGGCTGGTCCCACGTGAATTTAATCCAGGCTTCTTTTCCAAATTCTGGGCAGCAAACGGAAAGCTCTGAGGCAGTGGAAGGGGAGAGGAAGTCTTAGTCTTCCTATTGCTTGCTTACTCTCACTCTTTCTGATTGGCTTTCAACCAGTGTGCCTGATTTATTTGTATTTATTTTTTTAGCCACCACACATTTACAGGGTGGTGGTGGTGGTGAGTTCATTTCTTCCATATTAACAACTTTATTTGAATGTACACTTAACTCAACTGGATCAAACGGATCCTTTAACATCTCATCAGTCAACACATTATACTTTTTAGACCTCACAATAGCTGGGTTGGATTCTTCCCTTACCAGGGAGCTGGGCCGAAACGTTCGCGGTCCGTCAACGGTCGAAGTGGGGCACTCCGCACGGCACATATGGTCCCACAGCAGGGATGTCGGGCCCAATCTCCCTCTGGGGGTTTCTGTTGAAACTCCGGGCCCGGGCGGATGACCTTCCTGCCCCCATCAGAGTAGTTCACCGGGAAAACCGAGACCCTCCATTCTAAAGGTTCATAAACATGGCCGTGTCCGCTAGGGGGAAGGGGTTCAGGCAGTAGTCCCCCACCTCTCTGCAAATTGGGGAAGTCTTGAGCGAGCTTAACTTGGCTTCCCTCATCCGTTCTCAAGTCGGTCTGCACCCCCCTATTCATACATCTTCCCAGCTCGCCTTCTCCCAACCAACTGAACTCCCGCGCGTTTCCCCCTCCCCCTGTCACCTCTTCCCACGTGATGAAGTCCAGTTCGGCTCCTCCCTCATCAACCAAGCACACTTCTGTCGGTCTCCTCAGTGCTTCTTCCTCTTGTTCTATTTCTACCAAGATCTCCTCTGCGCAACCACCCTCCTCCTTCGGGTCCTTCTCTTCTGAGGACGGCACACTCTGACCTACACCTTCACACTATTGCTTGCTTACTCTCACTCTTTCTGATTGGCTTTCAACCAGTGTGCCTGATTTATTTGTATTTATTTTTTTAGCCACCACACATTTACAGGGTGGTGGTGGTGGAGAGGATAGAGCTACAGCATTTGCTACAGGAAGGTTACACACAACACACTAGAAGGAGAGGGGGCTTTTTCAGTCTCCCGGTGGTAGTGCTGTATCACTCAGCTGTTGTAGTGACAAATTAGGAGAAACATCTCTAAACATTTTTAGAAAGGTTAGTGTTGTTGTCTTTAAGAGTATGAACTGGTGACAGAAGAAATGAAGTCATCCTCACCACCAACATACAGCCCCACTATATATGCCGCTATTGATGTGATCAAGACACACTCAGCCATTACCTCAAAGATGGATGAATGCAATCACATAACACCAAACTGAGGCAAACAAGTGGGTGTGGCAATGTTACTGAAAATGCACATACACACCAACACCAGCTAGCAGAACAAAATGTACCGCATACTAAGGCTGAAAGTTTGGATCTACTTGCAATTAACTGTTACATCATGTTGTTGATGAACTAAATATTGAAACGCAGTTGAACAGTTGAAATAATACCAACAGTTGAATTTATGAATACGTAATTATGAAATTGTGCCATCAAATCAATTCTGACTTACGGTGACCCTTTTCAGCGTTTTCTAGGCATATTCATGTCTTTTTCTGGGGATGCCCTGAGATCATGCAACTTGCCCAAGGCTTCACAAATTGGCTTTTCCATTGGGAAACACTGCAGGAAATGAAATTCCTAACCTCCTCCTCCCTAACCAGATGAGTTTTTTTGTACAAGATGCAAACCTGGTTCTCAATGAGAGCAGGATATGTCAGCTGCCTCGAAAATGGGATACGAAGGAATTGCACTAACTGAGCTTCAATAGGCCTAAAACAATCAACCACTATGGAAAATAGGTACTGTACATGCTTTATTGCCCTATGAAGGTTGTTACCTCATGAGCTTGAAATGTTACATATAGTACATAGAAAAAGCCTATGGTTGTGTCAACACCTGAAAACAGTAGGGTATTATCTTGGTAGATTTTGCCTCCCAACATTTCATATACCAAGGCAGAGCCACCTGTTGGAGGGTAACTATGGAAATTGGAACTGGGACAGAAGGCAGGAATCATAAAGAGTGTTAAGAGAACGAAAAGGAAGCTGTTGTCTTCAATCTTCTTCTTGACTTGTTCTGATTTTCTCTGCTTGGAGGCCTCTGAACTTGAGGATGCAATCAGATATTTGGAAAGGAGTGCACCTCATTGCCGTAGAAAGGGTTGCTTTCCAGGGAGTGATCTCACTTAGATCAACCCAGCTCGGCTCCACAAACACAGAAGCCCTACTGGATCAGGTTCAGGATAGAGTGCAGGAAATAGATCGCACCAGACCATTCCACAAGCAGTCTGAAATGCAGCCTATTTCCCTGTTGGATCATGCTCTTACTTCTTTCTCATCTTCTCTTAAGGGGAGGGGTGGTTTTTTTGTTTTTTGTTTTTTTTGCTTCCTCTTCCTTCCTTTCTTTAACATACTTTCCCCTCGCTTTGTTTCAGTCATTTTTCAGGGCCAAATGCTTGGGCTCGGAACTTCTTCTTTTCACTATTTTTCTCCTCTTTAAAAACCTTTCTTGATTTTTTTTTCCTGGACTGGTCGTTCAATAGGACCTCTCCTGTATCCTTCATCTGGGCTGTAGAGAGAGGTCTCCTCTGATTTCTATCCAAACCCACAGGGGCCAGTTCTTCAGATTTCTTCAGTACATTAGGTATATATAAAACTTCACACATACACATTTTGTTCATGTTTTCTTTAAGTTATAGGCTTTGCTGCTAAGTATTTGGGGATTTTCAGGGTTGCATTTAAGCTAGTCTGCACTTGTGGAGATTTAGGTAGGCTTAAACAACAATTCAAATAACTGTTTATTGTGCCTACTATGGTTTTGCATGCCATGTCTCATTTAAAATTCTAATATTGCCTGTGTGGTACTATATTCATTTGATTTGCTTCAGTGAAGAATCAACCCATGGCTTGCTTAGCATGGGAGAGTTTCTGCGTGTAGCAGTGCAATTTGAGTTCAACTGTATCTTTGTATGCATATTTGCCCTTTCATGTGCTTTCCTCAAGTATTAATCTTGAACTGAGTATGTTTTGTCCTTGACCAAAAGTACTCACTGTTCCATGTTCCTACTTCAAACTTAAATAAATCTGCCAAATTTGGTTAACCAATAAGTAGCCTAGAGTCATTTCTGGCTATACCGTCCATTTAAAATTCTAATATCTGACCTTATTTTCAAATTCACTCGAAACTGACATTCCTCTGTTATTGGGGCTTTAAGACTAGGGTAACAGAGGGAATCCCTGTGGAATCATAGAAATTTGGCCTTCAGACTGGGGTCACATAGGTCTCATGCTGAAAACAGATACATTTCTGGCATACAGCATGGAAATCAACCAAGGAATGAGAAACTGAAAATATTATTGCCTTTTTTGGCCTGTGGAGTAAAGACTCATACATCTCCTATGGGATGTGGAAGGCCACGATAGGAGGTTGTGTCAAATCATTTTGTGCAGTGTTTCACATCAGTTGGTTAAATGGTGATATGGTGATTGTCCCAAAGATTAGGAGAAATCAAATGACTGATGTAAAGTTTTTTTCATCTTACCCAGCAGGCAAAATTTTCTCCCTCAGAGTTTACAGATTTTTTAGTTCCTGACATCCAGTTTTCAGCCTTTTGAAAAGAAATAACCCAAAAGGGAAATGGGATGGCAGTGGAACAGGGGAAAAAGCAAAGTTAGGAACAGTTCTTAAAATTATGACATTCTCATGATTATTTGGGATGGAAAGATAGGAAGGTGAAAGGAGGTCGTCAGGGAGAACACTCTGTTCTTCCCGTCTGTACCAAAGTCTGACTCAATGCCTATTGCCAGATGGCAGAGGAAGAGGCCAGAGAATGAGTCTCTAAGCAAAGCCAATGAAGTCACTTGATTTCACCTTATGCACTGTCCATGGAATGGCTACTTCCAGGTGAGATATTTAAGGGAGGAACCATATGAGAATGAAATGCAAGTAAAATGTCATTGGATAAAGTCATGTGAGGCTAAACAGGCACTGGGTGGCATATCTTAGTAAACCCTGGCCAGAAAGGTAATATGGCAACACTAATGAAGTATGAATGTTATTCATTAAACTAAATAATTAAATGGAAGTCTGTTTTAATTCTAAGCAATATTTTTGCTGGTCAGGTGAAGTCCACCATTTTTAAATAGCCTCCTCCCATGTACACGTTCCTCTTCAGTACTTTGAGACTGTGAGAGGTCTGGTTTGAATGCTGGTCCTGCCATGAAGCAGGGTGAAGCAACCTGAAAACCTGGGATTTCCAGGTCTCGGGCTTCTGTCTGATGTCTCAGAGAATGCTATACTTCCATGGGTCTCCAAGCAAGGAGACAAATCTCAGGGCAAGCAGTGCTGAAGCAGAAGAAAGAATGATTTCTGTATGTGAGATACTTATCTCCAGCCATTCTTGACTGACACCAAAGCTTAGCAGCACAGTGTGAAGGTGCTGTGTATTGTGCTTGCATGTCAGTGCACCAAAAGGCAGGACTGAGGAGAAGGCGCTGGGGAGGGCGCCAGAGATAGGATCCACTTGGCACCATTGTGGCCTTCGGAGGGAGTTATGGAGTGGACTGGCATTACACCACATGAGTCTTTTTGGTGCAGCAGCAGCCAAGGGCATAGACAAAATTCCCCACAGTGTAGTGGCGAATGTTCTCATGGGACATCGCAAGGACCTACGCCACCACATTAATGGTCCACCAGTGTGACAGCAAAAAGATACACCCCCAATTTCCAGGTTTTGGTCCAAAATTTCAGGAAATGGGTTACTGCTGACCTGGTAAATGTGGAGAATGGATCAATGGAAATAAAGACTGGTGTATTTTTGTAGATGTTGGTCCTGGTAGTTGCAGGGAGTGGGGGATAAGGAGTGATTGTTTCAGGCAGCAAAATATCTAGGGCTGATTCATCTGAAATTGTCTTACTTCATATTCCCCACATCATCTAAGAATAACACCATTTTGCTGCCAGTCCCTTCCTCAAGCTGCATCCTGCTATGAGTTATGATGGCCACTTACCCAGGAGGATTTCCTGCCTTACCACGAGGGGCTCTAAAGGCCAGTCCCAGTAAGAGGGACTGAGAGCCAGTGTGGTAATGGTAGACAGGGTATCTGGAAACTTGGATTGAAATCCATGCTCAGCCACAGAAACACCAGTCCCAGTAAGAGGGACTGAGAGCCTCTAAGAGGGATTGAAATCCATGCTCAGCCACAGAAACACATGGCGAATGCAGTAGTAGGAAGCCACTCCTTGAACATTTCACTTACCTCAAAAACTCTAGGTTGGAAGTCACTTGATGCCAGGTAACAACAGTACCCATTTCATAAGTTTTGTTCTCATTAGATGGTCGTTTCAAGATTTTCTTACCTCCTGACTACAGTGCTAATATTGGGCAACTTAATCATGGAATCGTTTTCTATAATTACAGGGAAGGGAGTACAGTTATACACACCGGAGTGGTCCTGATGACAGAGCCAAGTTCCACGCCCACTCATATTGTTGATGCAGCAAACACAAGCATGACAAACACACGGGATGAAATTGCTAGAAATGATTATGTTTTGCTAATTGGGTCCTGCGTTATTGAGCCCATCACAATTTTGGGACTTCTTGGCAACAGCTCTATTTTCTGGTTTCTCTGCTGCAGAATCAAAAGGACTAAATATACAGTATACGTTCTGAACTTGTCCATTGCTGATTTCATTGTACTCGTCTGCCACAATTATTTTTTTATTTCTCAGTTCGTTGCGTGGGGAAGAGAAACGATGGAGGCATACCTATATGAAGTGCTTGATATACTGGCCATCTTTGGTTACAATTCTAGTTTTTTCCTATTGACAGCCATTAGTGTTGAGAGGTGTCTTGGTGCTTTTTACCCACTCTGGTACCATTTTAATCGATCGAAATATCTCTCAGCTGTCTTGTGTGCAATTCTGTGGGTTCTCTCCTGTGCAGCAACTGCAGTGGAATATCTCACCACCTGGACAGCACAGTTTCTTGATGAAGTACCTTGCAGAAAGCATACTGCTGCCTGTGTGTTCCTTACCACCACTTGGCTGATATTTATCCCCGTCATGGTCTTTTGCAGTGTGAGCCTGTTTATCAAATTACAGAGAAATTTACAGCCACGGTCCTCAGCACGTCTTTACATTTCCATTGTCATCACTGTTGTTCTGTTCCTCATCTTGACTGTTCCCGCTCGGCTCTTATATCTGATAGTCTACTGGTACCCGATAACACAATTAGAATGGACTCTCTTGCATTTTTCTTTCTTCCTCCATACAATCAACACCAGCCTCAATCCTTTTGTTTACTTTCTTGTTGGAAGGCAGAAACAGAAAAGACCTCGCCAATCGCTCTATGGAGTGCTTTATGCATCCTGCAAAGATGAGCCTGAGATTCTGCCACAAGAAGAACACCCGGGGGCTGTGAGGGAGCCCTGTAGACCCCTAGTCCCAGTAAAACCAGTGTCCCAGGTGCGCATCTGAATGGAAAGAAATATTTCTAATGAATGAATGAATGAATGAATGAATGAATGAATGAATGAATGATCTGAAGCCATAAGTTATCCCTTTAGGTATATGCAGTTTAGATATATGCAGTTTGGTGATTTTTTAAAAAACCCACTAAACACACCCTCTTCTTATTCTAGGAAAGTAAGAAAGCTACTATTTATCATAGTTGCACCTTGCTGGATATGCGTTTTATGCTACAGCTCATATGTATGTCCTGTTTGTTACTTTATTTGCTAGATGGCTTTGCCAGGAGGTGGCTACAGATGCTGCTCCTGCCGAGCACCATCCTGGTTGCTGTGCATCTTCCAGCATGCCTCTTACTATTTCTACAGATGTGCCATTCTTCCCTTCTGCAATGGCATTCTGCTGTGGCTTATAAGACACTATTCTTTAACAGCCTATTCCTAGTTCATGGGCATACTGCTGTGTCATCCTGCAGATGTATTTCCAAGCATTGTTTGTATAAATTACTTGTGGCTTTCTCTGGAAGTTATTAGTTCTGCTGTAACATTTTAAGATTGTCAAGCATTTGATGTTTTTGCTTTAAATGATACATCACTGTATACCTTGAAAAATCATCAACAAAAGTAGGTACATGTATTATTTTCTCCTCAAGACATCTCTGTAATAGCATTGAAAATGTTTCTTTCTATCAGCTCTAGGGGGCACCTTAACTTCCTTTCATTGTGCTTTGAAAAGGGGGGGGGGTCTGGCCATGGTCATACCAATGAAATGTTTTCTTGTTCTCCTCCTCTGATTTCGCAATTTAAACTTACACTCACATGACACATGGCTATTAGCAAATCATATACCTGGCAAGCGTGCTAACTGCAGATCATTTCTTGCTCAACCAGAGACTTCTAATTTTTTTGTTGTGGATCTTTAAAAAGAAATGTTAGATTGCTACATATGTGAACAATTTTATCACAACGTTTTTGAACTACTGTCACCAGGCATATCCTTTTAAAATGCCTTTTAAAAAACTCCACGGCATTTGTATCAATGCATTGGTTAACATCTGTCAAATGGTCTCATCAAGTAGCTCTAGGTTGTTACTGAATTGGAAGGGAATTACCTGATAATCCAAAAACACATTGGGATGCACATCCTGGAATAAATGCCACATAACCTCAAAGCGTGACAGGAATGTGATTAAAAGTCACATAACCACAACCTTCTGGTTTGCTTTGCAGGGTCCAATATCCATGCCTTTGGCTAAATCCTCTTTTTGTAACTCTTTTAATTTAGAAAAGATCTTTGTAGCCAAATATGGGATGCCTTACATGCATGCATTCATAGCTGGTGCATTAATGCATGCCTGCATGCATGCATCTATGGTATCACAGATATATGATATTAGCTCTTTCAGTTCTGGATTACAGTTCTTATACATGCCCTTTGTTTGGCAATCTCAGGTTGTGAGCAGGATCTTGACTGAAGTTTAACCACTATGTCACAAAGCTCCTTATAGTAACTTATTCTTCCAGCAGCTTCAGGAACACATCTAGTAAAAATAAAGGCTATTATTTGCAATAGTAGCGACTTACAACCTTGTATTTTACAAGGCTGGTATTTTGCCAAAGAAAACATTAGTTTTTAGTAGTTACTGGTATCTTCCTTCAGATATGGATTTGTATTTACTATATATCCCATAATAGTCAAGGCAGTGGAGGCTGCATTTGGATCTACGTTATGGCCACCAATTTCTGCTGCATCTGATTTTATAGCAGTTGCCGCTTGATGGAAGGCCTGGGATTCCTTTTGCACTTTTACTATGGAAACAAACATTCCTAGGGAATTTGGAAGTGATCCAAAGAAAACTGCTAACTTCTGATTGTCCCCCAGAATGAACGCCTAGCCTAACTTACACCATTGTTTTGAAATTACCTCTTGCTTTTCATCTCTAGTCCTTTCCAAAGTAAGTGGAAGGCTTGTCTTGTGACGCCTCATAGCACATTGGTTAAACTGCGGTACTGCAATCAAGACTCTGCTCACAACCTGAGTTCCATCCCAGTGGGCTCAGATAGCTGGCTCAAGGTTGACTCAGCCTTCCATCCTTCTAAGGTTGGTAAACAGAGTACAGGGAAACACCTCACATTTTGGACATCTTGTAGCATGGCACAGTGCAAGCCATTTCCCAACAGTCACACAATGTACAGAGAATAGTATTCCAGATCAACCCTGACCAATGCCGAAACTGGACCTTTTTGGCCCAATGGCAGGCTACTCTTTTTTCAGGCTGGACTGGAGGGATTCTCCAAGGTGGACGGAAAGATCACTTTAAGGAGGACTGCTCCTGACAATATGACCCTTTCCATTTTGATCAGATGTGATCCTTTCTTGTTGTCTGATCTCACCCTAAGTCCTGCTTAAAAATCAGTGGTCAAAATCTTGTTGCTTACTGCAGTAAATCCCATTATGTGTGGGATTAGGCACACTGGATGAATGGGGATTTAGTGAGTCAACTCCTCCATAAGTAACATTCATTCAAGTGGGTCTACTATAGCTTTAACATACAGTACTATGCTAAAGTAAGTCACAACTGGAGTAGGCACATTTGAATAAATACTTATGATTAATTAGGTTGTCTTTTCTGAACATTTCCAAGCTCCATGTTATTAAATTTGAGATGCAATAATTAAAATAGTACACCATTTCAAATATAGCCACACCATAAATTTGGAACACTTATGTGAATATATATGAACATTGCAATAGTTCCAACAAAATGATTGTCCTCTGAAATTATATACGTGTTTGATATATATACGTGTTGATTTTTATACGTGTTGATTTTTAGTGTTTGATAAGTCAAACACTAAAAATGCAATGACTGAGAGACAATGCAAAATTGTTTTTAACTTCTAGAACACGATCAGGGATCTTGGCTGATCAGATATTGCTGGATTCCAAACTATATGCACCTCATCAAACATCCCCCACATATGAGACCAGCTGCGACAGGCCCCAGGTTACTCACGATGTGACTGAAATGATTTTTGACATACTTTATTATATAAATTTAAAATGTATAAATGTATAAAGCAATCTTTGTTAAAATACATGTGTAACAAAAATCTGAACAATCAGTAGATGAATGTGTTTTATTCTGCAAGTAGTCAATAAAAGCTCCCAAATGAACAAAATTTGATGTTTGTCTTCCTGTCTTTACTTTGGCCATATAAGTAAATTTAGACATTGCTCGTGGAGTGTGAGCATGCAGCAGTAGGTTCAGCTTTCTGGAATATCAAGATCCCTAGAGGCACATATTTATCCTGCAAAGCAATTGGACATAGGGAGATTTGTGGTTAAAAAGAACATGAAATCTTACTATTAATCTTAGGGAATACATTGTGATAAAGAAAAAGAAACAACCCTTTAATTCTTACTACACATAGCCAGTCATTACTGGAGTGAATTCCTGAAGCGCTGAAAGACAGGTGATTGTCATAGTACACTTTTTTTTACATCTCCCAGAATTTATAAACTGCTTCCTTAGTTTTGCAATTGATCTCCTAGACCTAAACATGGACTTTGTTTGCGAATATGATTCCTCCATTGCAAAGGTCTGGATGTACAATGCCTTTGGAATACTGAATACTGGAATAGTGCAGAGGGGGGTGTAGCCCTCTCATTAATTTGCCCACCCATCCAGCACCAAGGTAGACTGGAGGGTCACGGAGGAGGAGTTGCCATTGTTTATAAAAATATCTTAGAGGTTGTTAGGCTCTCTGCCTTGAGCATCCCAGGCCTTAAGGCTTTCCACGTGTCAGTGGGGACCAGGGATGGATTTGGGATGGTGCTGGTTTACTATGCTCCCCACGACTCAACACTCTCCTTTCCAGAGCTGTATTGATGTTATTTGCTATTTTGTTACTTTGTTATTTCATATTATTTGTTGTAAACCGCCCAGAATGGCCTTGGCTGCCAGATGGGCGGTATATAAATCAATCAATTAAACAATCAATCAATCAATCAGTCAGTCAGCCAAACAAACAAACAAATTTGGAACAGTAGTGGGCTTCATCTTCTAATGGTGTGTAATTCAGAGCATTTAGTTTGGCCTGAACAAGATGCATATTTATTTCTGTTTCTCAGGAAGACATAGAGCATGTCTTCTTTTTAAGGAGAGGAAGTAGAGAAAGTTTGGAGAATAAGGAATGGGAAACATTTATATCTGAGCGTTCAGCCTGGAGGCAGGCGGTGCAGCATGGCCTCTCCCAATTTGAAGAGGCACTTGTAAGAGACACTTGTTCAGCAGGTGAGGCAAAGAAGCGGTCCCAAAACCAGCAAAATCAGGGAGCTGGACAGGGGACAGATTGTATTTGTCTTCAGTGTGAAAGGGACTGTCACTCTTGAATTGGCCTTCTCAGCCACACTAGACGCTGTTCCAAGACCTTTATTCAAAGCACATTATCATAGTCTCTTGAGACTGAAGAATGCCTACTATTGCCTACTACTAAGGAAGAAATGACAGCAGCAACTCTTAAAATATCAATGGGCAGCATGTGCCCCCCCGGTCCTTTTGTAGGGACTCCCTTCCATACTAGGAGTGGTTACCTTACCTGGTCTTGTAAATGTTTTCAGCCACCCGTTCACAGACAAGGCAATCACTCCTAATATGGACAGAAAAAAGAAGCAGAGCTTGTTATCACCCACATACTGATAGCATTGTAACCCAGAGCTTCAGAGGTCCTCAACCAGAGATTTCATGTGAAATCCTATGAAGCACCTAAGGCAAAATATAAATCTGACGAAACCATACAAGAAAATTTCAATAGGAAAGAGTAGTAACATTCCAGCACCACAACCTTTTGAAATCTTACCACCACATGACAACTGAACTGGAATAACATAATAACCTCATTGCTATCCCATGGAGGCAGTCCAGGAAATCAAGTCTGATATCACGAAAAATACAGACAGAATCAAGAGAATCAAAGGGAGGTGTATGACATCTTTCTATCTCTCCAGGTACAGGTAGTATGCCAGTTTGATCAAGGTAATCTCCATCTAAATCTCCAGTAGAAAGCAAGATTGAAATAGATCAACACGACAGTCCTGATAATGTCAGCTTTACCACACTGTAGCTGATTATTTCTATGAGGTCATGAATATGTTTGTTACATAGGGGATCCATCATCATACTGGCGTGGCTGATACTTTTGCATCATTAAATGCTCTTATGAAGACCAGATGCATGATCAACAAGATTGTCTAGAAAAAAATAACAGTGATCACGGTAGTATTTGGTTTTCTATTTTGTAGCTGTTGTTATACATTTATTGAAAACAACACAAGATGATTTTTAAAAGGTTTGTCATAGAGGAAGCAGTAAAATAGTAGAATCCAAGAAACTGGAGGTGAACTACTGCCTATTATCAAGCTGTCAATACAGAAGGGTAGTATGAGAAGTACCTTTGGTGTACACACCATCCAAACCTTGTAAGAGACAAGAATACCTTATTTCATGCAAAGTCATCAAGGAAGTGTTATGATCATGCTTTATATCACTCCTAAAAGTCTGTGATATAAAGCAGTGATATGCTATTGAAATATAAACATCAAAAACATAATATCTCAAAAATACAGTGAATTGGTTCTTGAATTCACATGATAAAAATTCTGCTCGGTGGAAATTCCTACAGGTAGAAAGGAGCTAATTTTCACCATTTCTCCATTCCAAGTTACAGTATTGTGATCCTTGATCATTTGCTCCAGTGGGCTGGTGGACTGCCTGAAGGAAAGGGATGGGATGCAGTAGTATAAGCAGACGGGGGAAATTTTAAAAAAATCATCTTTCCCCACCCTACATTCAGAGCTACAGATCAAAGGCTCAGAGATCGGCAGCTCTGTGATCCAGAGTAGATGAAATGTACCTCTCAATTTATAGATAGGACAGCCTTTATCACATTCAGATACATAAATTGACATATTTCTAGTCACATAACTTCATTGCTCACCAAATCTGAAGGTAACAAAATTCCAGATTTGTAAAGTTATCTTGTTCAATTCACAAATAAAATTGAATGCATTTGGAAGAATCAAAATTCCAGATTTGGGGTATGGTAGTAAAATTATCCTGCCCAGTCCAAAAATAAAAGAGACTGTATTTTCCTAGTTCTAAACAGCTACATCTATCAGGATGTTAGTCTTTGATAGAAAGGAAACTGAGTTAATGTGAAAATTTATGAATACTTCTGCTACAGAATACCAACAAAAATGGTATTCTCTTGGGCTGCAACTCCCAGAATCCTCTGTCCAAGAGACCCAACTGCGCTGGCTGGAAGATCCTATGAGTTGTAGTAAAAAAAGTTATTCCAATCTCTGATATCAATACAGTTAAAAAATATGTGTGTGTGTTTGATTTTGACAGATTGAAAAGAATTACTGACCATCTTGTGAGCTTCAAGATGGCAGAGGCATATTCCTTATCTTTCCACACTGTTGGAGCAGAAAAAAACTCTGAGGAACAAGTAGAAACTGGATACCAAATGCAAAAAACTATTATGATCATATCCATTCCAATCTGTGCTTTAGGATTACTTGGGAACGGAATTGTCCTCTGGCTTCTTTGGCACCGGATCCAGAAAACTAAGTTTACTGTCTATTTCTTGAATATGGTTGTAGCTGATCTTACTGTATTGTTCTACTATGCCACCATTTTTATTTTATTTTTAAGAGCAGTTCCCATCAGCCTGTTGTGTTTACATATCATGGAGCTGACACATGCTGTTGGATTCAATGCCAGCACCTATATTCTAACAGCTATCACTGTTGAAAGGTACCTCATGATCTTTTTCCCAGTCTGGTGTGAATGTAATCGGCCCAAGCATCTCTCAGAAATTATATGCGCTCTGTTGTGGGGCCTGTCCTGCTTAATGTCACTGGTGTTATATTTTGCCTGCTATCTGCAGTTTGATCCAGCACTCAATGAAGATCATTTCAGTTGTGGACCAACCAAAATGTTCAGAGTAATTGTCAACCTCTTGGTCTTTCTTCCCATTATGGTGTTTTCCACAGTGGTCCTATTCATCAGGATGCTGAGAACACAGCAAGACACCCCTCCAGCAAAGCTTGACATCACCATTGTGGCCACAGTTCTCCTGTTTATTCTATTTGCGGCTTCAGTGAGGATTATTGAGATCATAGCACGCTGGGTCCCAAAAGTACACATACCGGTGGTCTTTCTGATTTTTCACTTTCTTGATGCCATTGACAGCAGTGGGAACCCTTTTATGTACCTCATTGTTGGTTACACAAGGAAAGAGATGGACAATGACAGTGTCCTCCAGACATTTCTTGAAAGAGCTTTGTTGGATGAAGGAGACACGGCAGAGGGTGTAACTTGGGCTCCAGGAACAAAATGAAAACATTTTTACACACAGGGAAAAAAGTATATGCTTGGGACTATTTGTTAGCATTTCTAACTCCAGAATAAAAGTATTACAAGTGATTTCTTACCATTCGTTACTTTCAATTCACCTAACCAAGTTTCTAAGCTTCTAAATCAATGTTTACCTTGCCTGGGTACATGAACCTTTCCTGAAATGTTGTTGTGTGAAGCTAGCTGTTGCTCAAGGTGGTTAGCTGCAAGAATGCAGAAAAGTCCAGAAGAAGAGATGTAAATTTTGGTGAGAGAAAGTGAGACAGAGGATGGGGTTTCAAGTGGGGAAAATATAAATATATATGTACATTTCCATAGGAAAAATATGAATAGATAGTGTATGTACATTTCTATGGATGTAAAAAGGATGGCTTGAAAGCTATCATAACATTCAACTCTACACACTCATTTTATACTATCAAAGCCTCCTAAGAGAACTAGCAAGTTTAATGAGGTCCCAGAGAAGCATAGTTTGGTTAGAACACTAATCAAGGGAGTCCCTATTAAAATTCATACAGAGAAAAGAACGAAACCCAGCTATATGTTTGTTTGTTTGTTGATATAATCGATATCTAGGCTGCCTTTCTCCTGGAACTGGGACCAAAGATGGCTTATAGGACAATTTAAAACAACAGATAAAAATACAATGAAATGAAAAACATGAAAATAGAATTAAACTCTATTATATAGTTAGAATACAATTGACATTAAAACTCTTTAAACAATTAAAATAGTAGCATTAATTTACATTAGAACAACTAGAACCACCACAGACACTGGGAAACCGGAGGTTCTTCATTGTCAAAGGCCTGCCTAATTAAAAAGTCTTTGCCTGCTACTGGAAGGAGAGGGGGGGGATCTAAATTGTCTTGGTAAGGAGTTCCAGAGCATGCGCACAGCCCCCAAAAAGGCCCTTTCTTGAGTCCCCATCAGATAGGTCTCTGAAGGTGGTGAAACCATGAGAAGGGCCTTTCCTGCAGTTCTTACAGCCTGAGTGGGCTTGTATGGGAGGATACAGTCTTCCAGATAAGCTGGACCCACTAAACTCATAATGGCATTGATAATGGTGCTATGCTATAAATAACAGTTGCTATGAGGTCATAAGAGCCTCGTATTCCGTTGGTTACATAAGAACATACCGTCACAGTGAAGTGGTTCACTCTGTTCCTGTATTAAACCTATGAAAGGAAAAAGTTGAAAAGAAGCTGGATCACAACTGGATGGTAGTATTATTTACTTACTTGTTTAATCTTGCAGCTGTTTGTGTCTGTTTAGTAAGCAAAGCAAAACACCTTAACTTCCATTGCTCTCATGGCTATATGTCTGTTTAACAAGCGTGCTGAAAGTTACCAGATTGACAGTTCTGGGAGAATTTGATTCCCACATCAAGAACATTTAATTGGTAAAGGAGGGAGTGTTTGCCCTTTCTGTACTCTGATGATTGCTGATCTTGGGAGCATTCGTGGAACTGAAGGGAAGTGGCCTACTACAAGAAACTTATTTCTATCAGCCTAGAGCTTCAAAGCTACTACAGGTAGTTATAAAATAACAAGTTACTTGTAAAGATTCATTTTTCTAATAATGGTCTTACTAAATAGTGGATAAAATAGTGGATAAGGAATACAGCATGATTCAAGTGCTGCCTCTGCTCTGTTCAGAGCAGTGGTGAGATTTATTTATTTTGTGTCATTTGTAGGCCGCCTTTCTCCTGATGAGAAGATGATGAGAGTACCAGAGGAGACTGTGTTTTGTCCCATGGGTCAGTAGTTGATAACATTTAGATTTTTTTTAAAGGAACTAGTTTAGAGGAATGGTAAACAGTTCCTTTTCAATATGAAAATTAGAATGATATTTAGCTACATTTGGGGGCCCTAGAATTGTAATTCTAATTATGTTTAAAGTAACTTTTCCAAGTTAAGATGATGAGTGTACCAGAGGAGAGTGTGTTTTGTCCCATGGGTCAGTAGTTGATAACATTTAGATTTTTTTTAAAGGAACTAGTTTAGAGGAATGGTAAACAGTTCCTTTTCAATATGAAAATTAGAATGATATTTAGCTACATTTGGGGGCCCTAGAATTGTAATTCTAATTATGTTTAAAGTAACTTTTCCAAGTTTGCCTTAGCTTCTCCAGAAAAGAGGGTCAAAATTCCCCCAACTGAAGGTCGTAAATTTTAGAGGGTCATAAACATAAGATACAAAGAGTGTAACTTTGTGGTAGAGATAGACTGAGAGAAAATGTCTCTCAAAAGGAGTTCCTGAAGAACCTTCTTCCAGGAATCTTTGTGCCAGGAGAATTAGCTAAGATCAATTGCATCACCATCTCCAGATCCTGAGGAGAGTTGCTCTGCCCCATTTCTCAAACAGCAAGCTGACATTTCTATGGCAAAATCCACTATGCCAAAGAAGCAGAATTTCGTACCATTTTAAATTCTGGGTGCAGAAAAAAGGAGTCAGAAAGCTCTTTCTTGGCTTATGTAATAAGAGACCGCAAAGTCCCCCAATTAAACTTATTAGTAGCAGAAATAACATTTCACACAACATATAATTAATTTGTAGCTATTATGTCAAAAAATATTACCACAGATGCTACCTTAAGTGGCTTTAAAAAGGAATCAAGCCATCTTTTGGCTTATTAAAAGCTGTGAGATCATAGGTGATCTATATGGAGTCTCCATATTCAGAGAAGCCCCAGCCAGGCATTATAGAATCCAGCTGTTAGAATAAACCTCGAGGAGACCACCTAGCCTGATTTCACCACTGCTTTCTTCACACTCTCCTCACTGAGTCTAGGAAGAGCAGATATTCCTAGTTGCAAGTAGGTTCTCCACATGAAAAAGAGCCAAGATTTTCTGAGGTTCTTCTTTGCGTTGAGACTCTATGTGAGGAGTAGAGATACTGTATAGGTATTCATATTCGAGGCTAGCGACTCAGAAGCCATGCAGGGAGACTCGTCCTCCCCCCCACTGCCTGGAGCAGCCAGGTAAGCAGGAAGAGAGCGGAGCTTTGGGAGCGATTGGAAGGATGAGTGAGGCTGCCGCTGCCAGCAGACATGTGAGTGGATGGGCTGGCCACAGGGGCCGGCTCCTCGTTAAGTCCAGCTACATGCGGATATTCCTATTCGTATATGAATACCCCCATCTCTAACGAGGAGGGTAATTTCCACGATTTGGTGCCTCTGTAAGTTTTGGACTTCAGCATCCATGGCTTCTCACCACTGGTCTTGTTAGCTGGGTCTGAGAGGACTCACACTTCAAAACAACGGGAAGACATCAGCTGGGAAAGGCTGTGCTAGTGGTTGTCATACAGCGAAGCCATACCAAAGTTTACACAATGGATAGATAGATTTTGTTGCACACCACCACCTAGCCAGCATAGCCAGTAAAGAGGAAGGCTAGAAGTTGTGGTCCAACAACATCTGGAGGGCTAAACTTTGTCTACACCGAGTTTATAGTGTCCAATCTCCCCCATGTATTCTGAACACATGAAATCCGCACGCTTAATCCAAAGCAAAGCAGCCAGCCAAAGGAGAACGGCGGGAGGGAGGCGAGTGCATTGTTATGGAACAAATGTCCCTACTTGATAGGTTATTTTATTGAAACTTTCCTGTCTCTATAGCAGAGCTTGGAAAAGTTACTTTCAAAAAGCATACAGCTCCCAAAAATCCCCAATAGCCATGCTGGCTGGGAGATTCTGGGAATTATGGATTATTAGCAGTACTTTTTGAAGTTCTGCTCTACTATAGCATCCCAAGACCTTAACGATAGCCATTTATGTTTTATTTTCAGCAGGCTGAGAAGAGCAACTGGGCAATGATAATGTCATGATGACAGAGAAAACTGCACTGTCTTCCCATACTGCTGTTACAATAAAGAAAAACTACACACAGTTGGAAACTTGGCCAAAAAAGGGATATTTTCCAGGAACAAGGAAAGGATATTTCCTAGAAACAGTAGTAGTCGTATCTGTTTCAATTTGCTTGTGCGGATTAATTGGCAATGGAGTTATCTTCTGGTTTCTCTGCACCAGGATCAAGAGGACTAGATTCACAATATACATTTTTAATTTGGTAGCTGCTGATCTTGCTGTGCTCGTCTACTACATTTTAGTTTTTATTTTATTTGTGACACCATTTTATGTTGATCTATACTTTTCACGCATAATGGAAAACATTTACTCATTTGTATACAACTCCAGCATCTATTTTTTAACAGCGATCAGTACAGAAAGATGCCTCATGGTCTTTATCCCAACTCGTTATCAACATCAACGGCCAAAGCACCTCTCAAAAATAGTGTGTGCCATTTTGTGGGCCTTATCCTGTCTGGTGTCACTGGTGGTATACATTTCCTGTTATCCACGATTCCTTTCATCTCACAGTGAAGGTAGTTTCTATTGTGATGCCGCAACTGTATTTGAAATGACAATTAACCTCTTTATTTTCCTTCCTGTCATGTTCTTTACCACACTGATCCTTTTTGTCAGAGTGCAGAAAAATGGAAAGCAGAGTTGTTCCGAAAAGTTTGATATCACCGTCATAGTCATGGTCTTTCTGTTTTTTATCTTTGCTTCTTCAGTTAGAATTATTGACGCCATAGCCTACTGGGATCAAAGACTAGATGCCCCTATCCCATTTCTACTTTCTCTGCTGTTTGACTCTATCAAGAGCAGCGCCAACCCTTTTGTGTATCTTTTTGTTGGAAACTGGAAGAGAAAGAAGATCCAGGAGCCAAACCATATCTTTCTGGAGAATGCTTTGAAGTACAAAGAAAACATGACAGAGCCTCCACAAATAGACCAGAAGCAGGCATCAAGGCATCCTAGGCCTCAGACATAAACTGAAAAAGATTATAAACAGAGGAATGTTAGTTGGCAATTCCAGAATAAAAATGTTTCAGATAATGTTACTGCTCATTAATTCTAGGCTGCAGGAGTCGCTCAGGCTTCTTTTGAATGGTCCCTCTCAAATGGGTGACAGTCTGTTCCAACCTAGATCTTGAAAATATTGGCTTTTCTGGACTAAAATGTTCCAGAATCCCCTAGCCAATGGTATATTGACCATGGAAATTCCATCCTCAGCTCCAGTGCCCATACAACAGCCAGAGCAGAGCTTTACAAGGCTTGGATACCTACTTTAAGAGGCGTGAATATAATAATGTACTAAAGCCACTTGTAACGGAGCCAGGGTATGCTGACGTGGAATTTATTTTTCTTAAAAGTAACATTCCAAGCTCTGCAATTTTGCAGGATTAGACATGGTTGAAAAGACTATTCCTCAGCAAACTGGGGTCATTGATTACTATGCCTCTACCCATACTAATTTGCTAAAACAATAAAGATTTATACCTATCACAACATCAAATATCTGACCATTTTAAGTGGATTGATTTATTTCTCCTGAGAATATTACTAAATACATTGCTGCAGAGATCATACCCATAATTCTTGTATTCTTGGGATTGATTGGAGTGACAGTGACAAGGGAAGGAAGACAAGTACAGAGAGAAAATGTGCATCAGCCATGTTCCTCTGATCTCTAGGGCTAAAACTGATGCGTTCACCATTCCATGTTCTTTTCACTCATGACTGGTTTGTTAAGTGGAATTCAGTACCACTGAGCCTGAGAAAGCGGTTATACAGTACCCAGGTTTGATGGCCAGTCAGAGAAATTAAATATCGACCAAAGATTCTTAGCTCACTACCAAGTCTGAGACCCCACATTGATTCTCACAATTTACCATTAGTGTCAATAATGTTGTTATTACTTTGTAGACTTATATCCAATACTTGTTAATTGTAACTGTTTTCAGTTTGCTAGTCTTATTCATTTACTAAGGAACCACTGTCACTTTGTTCATTATCCACATCTTTGTCTGGTCATGGAGGTATTTCTAAAAATGCCAGCCATATAGTCCCATGTTAATGTCTGAGGAACTAGATTTGATCCATAAAAGATTACATTTAATTATAGCAGTTAGCCTTTAAAGTGCCACAATGGGTTTATCTTATTTTCTTTTTGTCCCCCTGGGTTTTTGTTGTTGTTGTTGTGCTGATATGCTTACTGTTTAAAAACATCACTGTCTTCTGTTCTAGCAAAGAGGTGGGCTGTACGTATCTTCCCCTCTACTAAATTCACTGAAATGCATTGCAAAAATATATGGAGACAGACTTTTGTGTGAAAAGTAAAACCTCATAATTTTTAGGAAGGCAGCACCTAGTTCATCCAGAAGTTAGTATACATAACTGTTTCTTCAAAAAAATTCAAACCCAATAATCATTCCATTTCAAGGAGCTAAAATTATATATGTGACAATTCCTTTTCTGTTCTAGGGACAGACTTACCTGTCATTATAGTCATGCTTCCAAGTCTATACACAGGGTAAAATGAAACAGTCATCATGGAAAAACTGAGATTGTGAATGCTACAGTTCAGGTTGCAATACTCTGACATCAACAAACTGAAGTTCAGTCAGATTCTGATTTCAATCCCAGTTTGTAGGGAGCTTCTACTGTACACCCTCCACCCCCATTTCCCAGTTTGGAAACCACAAGAAACATTGGCTTAACAAAACAGGAAGGATAGTTTGGGAGTTTTTTTAAACTGGAATGTATATATTTATTTAAAATATTTCTATCCTGCCTTTCTCTCTGAAAAGACTCAGAATCTCACACCCAAAATATACAGTATACTGTTTGGCTATTAGATGAGTTGCTGATTCTAGAAGCAATGCATGCTTGAGGGGGAAAGACACCCTGCTCCTTCTAACACGAGCTTACTTCACTCTACATTTGGCAAATTGGCTTGCTTTTGTTTTGCAACTGATTTCTTGGGAGATGGCATAGTTTTGTTCACATGTATGTCATCGAAAGCAAATAACATTAAAAATTTTGTGATCTTGGACAGAGATCAACAGTGACCATTGGAAATAAACTTGAGTTTGTGCAAACTGAATTAGAGATGTTTCAGTAACTGGAAAGTAACTTGGTTTACATTTTGCTTAAAAGGAAAACATGCATTAACTGTTAAAAATGATTTGGAACTTAAATTTATCCACCTATGTTACTTTAGCACAATGAAGAAAAACCTGAGGAGAAGCACTGATGGCTGTAAAATTCCCCCTGCTGCACTCTTCACTGGCTTTCCACCCTACTCCATCTCATCCTTCTGCAGAAGACAACCAAGTTTGGGAAGCAAAGATGGCTGATAGACTTCTTCCTTTCCCTCTCAGAGCTGGAGGGGAAGGAAGAGGAAGTCCCATGTGCTCCAACCCTGGGGTCAGCTTTGTTATAAAATAGAAATATTTCTGGGAGTGAGACTAGTGGCTCAGAATCTGTGTCTGTTGTGGAGGAATATGTGAACCCTGCAAGTGCCAAGGTTCCAGAAAGCCCAAGGGAAATGCCCAGCAGCAGAGTCAGTTGTAATCTGAGGTTGCAGCTGAGAGAAGTGAAGGTCAAGAGAGATGGCAGGAATGAAGCACAGACCAAAAACAAACAAACAAGCCAGAGGACCAACAACTATGTTTGTTACAATCAGCAATTCACTGCAGTGCTGGGAGGGAAATTTATAGTGCTTCCCTTCTGCCCCCACATGCCCTTGATCTGCAATCAGTACTCTTTAAAAGGAGTGCCTCTGCTTCGCTGTGCTTTCACCTGAAAAGCAGTACTTCGGACTGAGAAGGGACGGCAAAACACCCTCTTTACTCTCCTGACCTTTTGAGGGATATGATGGAGGCGGAGACCTTCGCCTTCGACCTGGCTTCCTCCAGCACAGACTGAAGCCTCTGAGCCTCCTTCTTCTATTTCAGAAGGGGAATTGGCTTCCCCTGAGACAGGCTGAAACTCCTGAACTTCCTCTTCAGAAGAGAGGAGATCAGCTGGGGGGGGCATGACAAGGTCTGGATCTGGGCTGTGTGAGTTGAAGCCTCTTTTGTTGTTGTTGGGTGCAGCCCATTTTGGGGTAATAAGATCCAGTTGCGTGTGATTTCCCCCTTTGAGATCACATTGGGCACCAGCTATTCCCTTCTGTGCAACAACTCTGTACAAAACGTGTTCTACCATCGGTGCTTCTGACCTGTCAGACATGATCCCTGTGGTGTAGGTGGAATTTGGGGAACATTTATCCCCTTTCTCAAGAAATGGTGCCTTTATCCTTTCTGAATAGTAGCTATATGTATACTGTATATACTTTTGAAAGACAGTGTGGTGTTGTGGATCGAATGCCAGGCTAGAACTCAAGAGACATGAGTTTACACTGCTTCTTGGCTATAGGAATTCTCTGGTGGCTGGCAATGACAAACGCTTCTTGAACGTCCACCCTGAAAACACTATGATGGTTGCCATAATTTAGAAGTGACTTGACAGCAGATATAACTTTAACAATTGCTGACATTGTATCTGGATGATTAAAAGAGGGCATTCCTTTACTGTACTTGTAAAATTTTATCTTTGTGGATTAAGTAAAGATTAAAGTTAATTACAAAAAAAAACCTTTATAAATCTACTCAGAAGTTAGTTAGGCATCCTTCAGTTTTGGAAGACTATGGTAATACTCAGAAGTAAGATTTAGTATATCCATTAGGGTTTATACTTGGGTTATATCAGTGAGTTAGGTATCTAGCTGCTGAGCCAGAGGTTGGGAGTTCAGTTACCCACTCTGCCACGCCAGCCGGTGTAGCCATGAGCAAGCTGCACAGTCCCAGGGTACCTGCAGAAGAAAATGGTAAATCAGTTCTGAGTTCTCTATACCTAGGAAGCCCTGGAAGGTGTTGTCATATGTCAGAACTGACATGATAACATGTCATTTAATGTGGATGGAGGACTTCAGTTCTTTTAACTACAGTATAACACCCTCTGCAAAACTATATATATCCAGAAACATGTATTTTATATTTTGAAATTAACCTTCATGGGCAAGTCCATTTCAACAGACATAAAAGAAAGAGATATAACATGGCAAATATGCAGCTGAAGCCAACACCAAGGATTTGACTGTGGGCACTTTAAGATGAAGCAAAGAATTTTTTTTAAAAAATGAATCACTGGTCAATCACTAGTTTATACAGTCAAAAAAAGTTCACTTCCACTGCCCCTCTGTCAAGGAGCAGAAGAAGTGACTAATTTGCCAATATTTAGATATTAAGCTACTTCATCATATTGGCAAATTTAAACTGGAAGGTTTGCTTCGAATTGGTTCCAGCCATCACAGGCATTGGAACCAATTCAAACCAGAGTGATCCGAAATGAACCAATAAAAAGTAGACACCCCAGAAAGATATGGAGAGCACTTCTCTGAGCATGGCTGGCCCACTCCAGTACATATGTCATCTGATTGCCATCTTTAGGAGCAGACCAGCTTGTTCATGCAGTGGACCAAACAATAGGTTAAAAGCTAGTGTTGTCAGCCTACAGGGCAATGTTCCAGATATAATTAAACTAGTCATTTAGAGCAGTGGTCCCCAACCTTGGGCCTCCAGATGTTCTTAGATTACAACTCCCAGAAGCCTTCACCACCACCTGTACTGGTTAGGATTTCTGGAAGTTGAAGTCCAAGAACATCTGGAGGCCCAAGGTTGGGGACCACTGATTTAGAGGACCAGTCCCCATCTTTATATGAAAAGAAGGAACAAATTCCTAGAAAACACACTAAGAGAAACAAGGACCTTGTCTCTTGTTTCCTCACCCTCTATATGGACTAAAGCATGCCGACTACATTCTGTTCAGGCAAGCAGCTCTATAGCAGTTGTAAGGAAGTAGAGCCTTTGTGTTACAGAAGCCATGCATCACTCCCATAAAACTGGTATATGACAACAATCATCGGGAATCATGGGTTACTTGGGAAATATCTGCTCTGCAGAAAAGATGGCAAACAGTCCCTGGAAAAGATTGAGAAATGTGGGGACTAGGGCAGAGATTTGGCCTACAGCATTAATTTTTTTAAAGACATATTTATATGATTCATTTACACACTATAATGAATGCTGGCGTATAAAGGAGCAGGGTTAATAACAGTATGGAATAAAAATGACAGAAGAATGAAGTGATGGGATGAATGATGTGACACACTTGACTAGAGCTATTGGAAACATTACCTCTTTGGATAGGTTCAAGAATCTCAAGTTGCACAGCTAGTAGTCATGCTACCTGGGGAATTCCCAGACCTTGTCCTCTAAAAAGTATTTTTCCAAGCCCTGCAAAAGATACAGGAAAGAAGGCCAGTGTGAGATCAACAGCATTCTCATTTGTTGTTCCTTGCCTGAAGATCTCTCCTTCCTCATTGGTCAAAGCTCAAATACATTCTGCATGGTAATTCTACTCCATTCCTCCTTTACTTCTTTTGGCTTCTGGACTTTTCCAACAAGCTCCATGTTTTACACCAATTCCTCCTATGGACACTGGCTAACAATTGCTGCGAGGTCATCAGATCCCCGTCATCCATTTGTTACATAGGGAACATGTCATTGCAGTGAACAAAGTCATCTTAAGAGCATAATAGTCCTGAGGAGAACAGGACTGTGATCACCAAAGGTGGAAGGGTAAGACCGATATATCTGCTTCTAATTACTGTTTCTGGGAATGTCAGACTTTGAGAGTCTGGCAGAAGAAGCTCCATCAAGCCTCAGAGATTACAGTTTTCCTCATAATTACAGATTTGTAGGTATCCAGTCCCACCAACCAGATACCCTTGGTTCCTTATTGCCATCAGCTGGTTAATTAGGAACACTGTGGACTTTCTCTGAAGGTGGGCCACATCCCGGATTAAGACAGAACCAGGGTCTCTGGAAAAAGATGTACTTCTGTAATGGCAGCCAGGGATCTGCTTTTCTTTCTTTATTCATATTAGAGTGTTGTACAATTTAAAATTATGGGCATATATGAAAAATTAAAAACAAAATAAAATGTTGAAATATTTTGGACTGATGTTAAATAGCAATGCTGAATAGTATAAATAAATAAATACTAAACAGTAAGAAGAACTTTAACTGTGGAATCAGTTTGGTGCAAGAAGCCAAAATATAGAACTTTTAGCAGCCATATAGCTTACCTTTGTTGCTAATAGTCCTGATTTAAATATATTCATTGAAATTTTTATCTCAGACCAAGAGTGACATGGGACATTTATTTATTTATTATATTTTTACCCTTGAAAAGGACCCAAGGCAGCTTACAACAATGAAAGACAATATTTAAAGTAGTAATACCTTTGCGCCATTAAGTTGATTCCAACCTATGGCAACCACTTTCCAGGGTTTTCTTGGTAGAGAGTACACAGAAGTGGTTTTCCATTCTCTTCTTCTGGGAGCCTCCTGAGATTGTGCAGCTTGCCCAAGGCTGCAAAGGCTTCCTCTTCTCTCAGGAGACACAGTGAAATACTGAACCTCTCTACCTGCTGGCTCTGTAGCCAGATGCCCAAACCACTGAGCTATCAGGTGACAGCCGTCTCCAAAGGTTTGACAGCCTGTCATGTGGAAGTTGGAGCAAACTTATTTTTGTGGCCCTGGGATCCCTTCTAGCCTTTTACTACTTTCATTATATGATTCTTCTCCAGTACATATCACATGACAAAGTGTTCTGCCAGACATGTCACCCTCTCCCTGAATGTACTGTACCTGATTGGGACCTGAAGTTTATCTACTTTCCCCACCATTCAGAGTGGTCTGAATAAAATATTCATTTATTTGAAATATTTTACTCCACCTTTCTCATTAAGATGGACCCATCCAATGATGTCTTTCTTATATCAATGAGACAGTATTAAAGCTAAAAACAATAAGTATACTGTACAAATATGAAAAAGGACTAAACACTCTGAGAAATGGAAAACACAAGTAGTACTAAAAGCCCAGTTAAAGCAGTAATGCATAACAGTCCATCTAAAGATTACACTCAGGTAGCCAGTCACAGAGGGAAGGCTTGCCTGAAGAGAAAGGTCTTTGCCTGCTTGCAGAAGGATAGCAGAGATGTGGCCAGTCTGCCGTCCTGTGGGAGGGAGTTCCAGAGTCTGGGAGCAGCAACAGGGGAGGCCCTCTTCTATGTCCTCATCAGATGTGCCTGTAAAGGTGGTGGTTGGACCAAGAGACAGGCCTCCTGTGATGATCTTAACTCCAAACAGGCTCATAATGGGAGATATGGTCTTTGAGATAGCTTGAACCGGGGCCATTTAGGGCTTTATAGGTTAAAACCAGCACTTTGAATTGTGTGCAGAAATGGATCTGCAGCCAGTACAGCTGTTGCAACAGGGGAGTTATGTGATCACTGTAACCAGACTTAATCAGCAATATGGCTGCTGCATTTTGGACCTTCTGAAGTTTCCTGACACTTTCCACATAGAGTGAGAGCATTACAGTAATCCAGCCAGGATGTATAAGGGTGTGTGTCACAGTGGCCAGAGCCGACCTCTCAAGAAACTGGCTTAGCTGGCGCACTAGTTTTAATTCTGCAAATGCTCTCCTGGCCACCACTATGATCTGTGCATCCAGGCCCAGGGATGAATCCAGGAGCACCCCCAAGCTGCACACCTGTTTTTTCAATGATATTTAAGTGTTCCGTGTATTTTTTTAACAAATGAAAAAATTCCTTTGTAATGTCATTACAAGACTAAAAATTGTGCCAAACAAACTGTCTTTTCCACAAATTATATTAGCATCCCCATAATATCTGGAAAGCTTATAAAAACATGTTCCACTGTACCCCAAGAAAACTATGTCATTGCATTTATGTATCTCTGAAGTTAACCTATGACTTTTCTCACATTGGCTAAGACCCAGCCTTAGCCAACTATGGAGCAGATAATTCAAATGCAAGCTCCACTGATTTAAATGGGTCCACTTTGAGTATTATTGCTTTGGATCCTACTTAATGGCCCAAATCCTGTTGCTTAGGCCCATTGAATCAATTGAGATTTAGTGACAATGGCCCAAATCCTGTTACTTAGGCCCATTGAATCAATGGAGATTTAGTGAGTCAACTGCTCTGTACCATTAAATCAATGGGGCCACTTTAGTTCTTATTTGCATGCTAAATATCCTGCTAGCATGATTGCTAGCATTTGGTACCAAGTGATTCAGCATGAAATGTGATATGACTAATTAAACACATGTCTGTATAATATGGAAAACAGCTGGACTCTATCTGTAATCCCCCTCTATCTATTCCCCTGAATTCATATTTTTACAGTTGCTTGTTCAAATGCTTGATACCAAACAGAGAATTCTGCAGACACTGAGAAAGTAATTATGTCTAGCCTTGTTCAGAAATGTGCATCTGGAAGGCGATTATCCAGGGCAGAGATTACCAACTGTGGCTTTCTCAATGTCACCAGGCTGCATCTTCCATCAGAAAACTAGCAAGCAGAGTCAAAAATAATGAAAACTGCTGCCCCACAACCTCTGTGAGGAGCCATGTTGTCTCTCCCTGCAGTAGGGGTTATTTAAATAGGTGAACTTTTTTGTATAAGTGGTGAAATGCCTTGTTAGATTTATAGTACTGAGCAAACCTCTCCATCCAGCCTCTCAGTACATTGCTAATGATAGGCTCTGCTTGATTTTGACAGCTGGAGAAGAACCGCTTGATTCATGTGGCTACTGTCAAGATGGGAGAGGCAAATGCGACATATTTCTCCATCGCTGATACAACCAAGCCATCTTTCTTTTTAAAAGAAATTGTGATAATCTCATCTGTTGTGATAGGGATTGTGGGATTAATTGGGAATGGAATTGTCACCTGTCTTTTTTGCTACAGATGCAAGAATTCCAGGTTCTTTGTATATTTCCAGAATATTGCTTTTTCTAATACTATTGTACTCTTCTACGTGTTTGTTTTTTTCCAGAGGACTTGTTTCCATAGAGGTATTAAGCTCCGTTTTCTATATATAATAGAGATGCTGCAGACATTAGGATACAATACAAGATTCTATCTATTAAGAACAGTCTGTGTTGAGAGGTGTCTCATGGTCTTCTGGCCAGCTTGGAATAAACGTTACCGGCCACAACACACGACATTCCTGGTGTGCGGCGTTTTGTGGAGCTTGTCTTGTCTGACCTCAGTGGTGGATAATTTGGCCTGCTCTTCAGATTTCATCAAACCTAACAAGCCATTTTTAATCAATTGCAAAAATGCAAGTATAATGAGAATTGTCATTGATTTAGCGATTTTTCTACCTCTTGTCGTCTCTTGCACTTCAGCTATTTTGATCAGGCACCTGACCCAGCAAGTGCCACTGGCAAGGCTTGACATCACCATTGTGGCCACTGTTGTTCTATGTATTCTATCTGACACACCAATTAGAATTGCTCATAACATCATTTATTGGCTTCAAGGAATTGATGAGGGTTTTTTAACTACAGTTACTCAGTTATTTCATTCCGTACATTCAATGGCTAGTGCATTGATCCTTGTAATTGTTGGATGTTGGAAGAAAACTTCAGAAGAGTCTTTCTTTATGTTTCTTGAAAGAGCTTTGGAGGCTGAAGAAAACATGGCACTGAGAACAGAAGCAGATGAAGAGCCAACCTGAGAATTTTGTGGGCTTCAAAGGCCAAGTTCTTCTTTTACAATAGTGAATATTTATGTTTACTGATGGACACTGTCTAGAGAAATGGCTTGGTACTGGTTGTGGTTCATATGAAACAAGAAATCCTTTTTATTTGTCCTATCTTCTATGTACTGTAAAGTAAAAAAAAACCACAAGTATTATACAGGCATGGTTCAGTCTTAGCTTTGTCCAGTTAAACACTTCTTTTTCACAGAGCTAAGTTTTGAAATGCGCAAGTTGTTGAAGATGTTTATTCTCAAGAAGGATGGCTACGTATGCATTGTTAAGAAAGAGAAAATATATAATCAATAAAAGAGGACTAAAGAGGGCAGATGTACGTAAAATATTCACATGCCAACTGGTATGTGTAGATATACATTTGGACTCCAGTTTAACAAGCAGTCATCTGTGAACGCACGCATATGGGATATTCCTATGCCTGGCAGGGCATTTCGGAATTTTCTACAGCTAACTCATGAAGGTTTTGAATAGAAGCAGACGACTGCCGGGTGCACTCAGAAAAAAAGTGAGTTGCTCTTTTTTTAGTGTCTAACAGTGTAAACACCTGTAGTACACCAAAGCTGGAGCATATTAAAAATGTCTCAATTAGAACATTTTTCCTAGATAGATACTTAGTACTGGGATACCTATAAGGGTGCATCTACACTGGAAAGCTGAATTGCTGTGCTTTGGTTCACAGCCTCTATTAAGTTTGAAATCATTGTCAGTGCTCACACAGAGGCTGCAGATTAATTTGGGAGTTTACCTTTCATACTGGAACGGATGCGATTTGCATTCCAGCCCACTGCCCCATTCTTTCCTTCCTTCTTCTGGTCCCACCTCTGCCCAGGGAACTGATGGGAGCACAATTATGGGAAAGACTAATAACAATTACCCCAGCAATAAGGTGGTAAGATGATCTAGCACTAATCTCATATATGTAAGAAATAAAAAATATTTTAAAAATTCAGAGGACAATTGAGGGAGACGAAAGAATGTGGGATAATGTTCTCCCAGTTCTAAACATCATGTCCCAAACTACCTACAGTGTATATCACTGAACCATCACCTATATGCACACCCTTCCTCTTTACAAGAATGTACCACAATTAACCACATGGGGGAAAGTCCACTCAGATTTTTCCATCTTGAAAAAGTAGAAGCCCCACAGCAGCAGAGAAAAAACCCACTTTGGGAGCAAAGAGTTGGACTGAGGCAAATCAGTCTTTGTCATATGGTCAGTAAAAATATTTCAAATTCACTCATAAGATAAAATCCCATGATTTTTGACCATGTACTTGCAGATTAAAAAATTGAGGACTTCCTCTGGGAAATCTGATATGGAAAAATCTTCCAGTCACAGAATGGAAATATTGGTGATAAAATCTCTGTATTGTTGATAGCTAGCAGGTGTGGCATTGACAGTATTCTAATTATGTTGAGCCATTATGATAAACGATACAAACCCATATTGCCTGGGTGTCAAAAGTGTTGTATGCCTTGTCTTTTCCAATGCTCTTTTGATTAGCGATACGAATGGAAAGGCACAAGTAAGCAGGCAACTCCAATTAAGCATGATACTCCAATTAATCACTCCAAACAATTGACCAGCTATACCTCGAGATGGTTGGACAGTATCATGGAAGCTACCAACATGAAGTTGACCAAACTCTGGGAGGCAGTGGAAGGCAGGAGGGCCTGGCGTGCTCTGGTCTGCGGGGTCATAAAGAATCGGACACGACTTAACGACTGACTGACAACAACCTCAGATCAAGGTCACAAATTTTGGAAACATTTAAATGTTTGTGTATTTTTCATTGAACTTGAGCGCCATTGTTTGGAAAATGTAGTCCTCAATGAAACACTTATATTGTGATATTCAGATGAATATTGCTGTGATTATTTGATTTCATTCTGGGATTAGCCCTTTATAAAGATAAATGCCAGCTGCGATCAACAACAGGCTTTTGATCTTTCTCCAGGGGGTCTGTGTATCTCTGTAGGACTCCTGCAGGAGTCAAGCATCCTATCTAGGTATCTGATTACTTTTTGTTCTCTATTTTGAATATCACTCACACTGTCTACTGAAAAGAGCTCAGTAACTTAGAAGGTAGCAGTTCCAGGTTGACCTATGGGATACCCAGGAACTTTGATCCACTAGTTGGATTTTGATATGACCATGAACACAGTTAACTGTGTATGTATACTGCCTGTAAAGTGGCCAGATGATTCAATAGAATGAAATTATTATTGTACTTTGAATGATGACACACACCAGATGATATCTACAGGAATTTACTGCATATGCAGTTGAACACAAAGTGTAGTTAGAGGAAACTGAGCATGGAATTTTGGATTATTATTTTTTTCATTTATTTATTTTGCTGTAGCTCCCAGAATTCACCAGGAATTTCCCCAGCCAGAATTATGTTACTTCTAGTCAAAAAATACATGTCCTCAAAGGAGTTTCAGTATTCACATCTCTGTCTTGGCAAGTTGCCTGAAGGAGGAGAAAATGGGTGAGAATAACTAAGCTGCATAGGAGTTGTGAGCAATTATGAAACAGGTAGACTCTGCTTATTAGTCTCTGTAAAGTATGCCTCCCAAAAAACTACCAGTTCCATCATTCCTTGCAGCTCCCACAGAGCCTGGCCACCCCTACTCACATCTCCTTCAGAGAAATGGTGGTTCCAGAATGAAACTTGCCGAGGTGCACTTGTATTAAAACTCTTCTGAGGACTTAGATTTTCCCCCTACAGCTACCAGAACTCTGACTGTGGAAATTCCTGGTGAATTTGGTGAGCTGCAGTAAAAATATATAAAATAAAATAAAAAATCTCATGTCTAGAAGAAACTAATGGTGTACAGGCAGAAAAAAATGGATTGGACCACCAGGATTTGGGTTACTTTAAGGTTCTTCAGAACATCAATGCAGTATTAACAGATTTGGTCCTAGAAAACTCACTGCAGCTTTCTATATTTCCACGCTCTAGTATTTAAACCAAATTCTGTTTTATATCACTGCTTATCTCCATCTTCTTTATGTGTAGCCAGATGACAGAAGTAGTATCTAGAATGAAGGATCTACAGGACTCCATCATTAACTTGAGAGGTTATGGATCGGAGCAACAGTCCTAGAAAGATATTCACTGCTTTGTTTATGACCATGATGGAAAACCCCAACTCCCTCAGACAGGCTAAATAAGCCATTGTGATTCCAAAAAGACATGTTTGGAAATGCCATGGGCTTGAGCAATGTATCAACTACAAGTTCCCCTCTACTGATAGCTAGGACTGTTGGTCAAATGAGGAATTTACAGATAATTCTAGCCAGGAATTTGGCATAGCAGCACAAGAGGATTTTGCCTTGGGACAGTTAGTACTGTTGGTGCTTAGGGAATGACTGGATGCCACTGAAGGACAAAATGGAAATGTCCCTTCTCTTTCTTGACAACTTGTCGCTGGAAATCATGTGTTTTCTCTCTTGCTCCCAGCCTCTTATTGGCCTGAAAAACTTCATTCAGACTTTAGCCCAATTTCCTCTGAGGTATCTCCCCACACTTGGCCTACTGACCCTTTCCACCATCTACTTACCAAACTATATAAACAATGCATTTAAACATAACTGGGCATCACAATACTACCATGATCTTATCTAGATTTTGTTGCAGTTGATTGACACTTGCCCTCCCCTTTGATGTTAGGAGCCTTTTTATTTCTGAACAGCCTCTACACTAGCTTATCACTTCCACCACCTCTCTAGGATCACGTGATGGGCACAAGCAGAAGTTAATATCAGATGGGGGTTGTGCGCATGGCAGCTTACTGTAGCAAGCAACAGTAAAAGGTCCAACCCTACCTTGTTCTGAAAGCTGTCTCCACACCTGGATACAAAGCAGGCAGTTAGAGACAAGGGGACTTTTTTTTAAGAAAAAGTGCATTTCTAGAAACTATAATGTAAATCACAGTTAGAGTAGGGCTATTTGAATCAATGGAACTTACAGAAGAGTTGACACATTAAATCTCCACTGATTCAATGGTCCTACTCCTGTTACAACTTATTACTGGATTTGAGCCAGAGATCTTGGGCTTTATGCGGGGTGGGGTGGAGATTCACCTATCAGTTGCCTTTCCCTTTGATGCCATTAGCCCAGTTTACTTCTGATTTCCTAAGAGTCATAAAGAAGCATGGGTAATAATTGTATGAAGGCAAATATAAGAGAGCAATGCAGAACTGATGGAATGAATGATGTGGCACACTTGATCAGTGCTCTTGGAAACACTGCCTTTTTGGACAAGTCCATGGGGCCATTCTGAGATCTTGTTATCCAAAAAGTGTTGTTTTTTTCAAGTTCTGCAAAAGACATAGGAGAGAAGGCCAGTGAGGTCAACAGCATTCTCCTTTTTTTGTTCCTAGCCTGAAGATCTCTCCTGACATAGGAGAGAAGGCCAGTGTGAGGTCAACAGCATTCTCCTTTTTTTTGTTCCTAGCCTGAAGATCTCTCCCTCCCTTCTGAACTTGACATTTGGCTTGATCCTTAGTCCAAATGAAATACATTCTGCATGGCAGTTCTGTTCTACTCTTTCTTTAGTTCTTTGTGCACTTAGACTGTTCCAGCATGTTTCACACTTCCCAATTCATTCTTTCCCAGCTTCTGGCTAGTATTTTATATTGCCCAGAGCCAGGAGTGCCAGCTACAGTGAAACAAATCTAGAGAGATCCCACTAGGACTTTCATTGTTCTGCTGCTAACAATTGCTGTGAGGTCATGAGATTCTCATCATCCATTTGTTACATAGGGAACATGTCATCACAGTGAACAAGGTCATCCCACGGAAGCAAAATAGTCCTGAGGAGAACAGGACTGTGATCATCAAAGTTGGAAAGACAAGACTGGTATACCTGCTTCTCATGATTATTTCTGGGAATGTCAAACTTTGACAATCTGGCAGATGAAACTCCATCAAGCCTCAGAGATCACAGTTCTCCTCGTAATTAGATCTGCAGGTTTCCAGTCCCACCAACCAGATATTCTTGGTTCCTTATTGCCACCAGCTGGTTACTCAGGAATACTGTGGACTTTCTCTGAATGTGAGCCACATCCTGGATAAGACAGAATCAGGATCTCTAGGAAAAGGTTTGCTTCTGTAATGGCAGCTAGGGATTTGCTTGTTTTGACAAATTGTGGTGTTGGGGAACCCGAGCTAACAGAGTTGAAGCACCAGGATTTTTAGAGATGATCTGTTCTGGCGTCTCCTTTTTCCTGAGGCAGTTCATAGTAGTTAGAGGGGGTGGATTTTCCTAGCAACAAGATGTTGTTGTGAGCTATCCGGGTTTATTACAAGATATTCTGAGACGATTCAGTCTTAAATGGTCTGGTAAGTCCCGTTAGCCTTGCTTTTGCTCAAATCCTAATTAATGCAAGTTCCACTGATTTAAATGGGTCTACTCTGAGTTTGACCACTTTGAATACTAGTTGGCTGTTCAAATGTTTGATACTTAAGAGAGAATTTTGCAGGCACTTTATATATACATACACATATATATATACACACACACACACATATATATACACGTGTGTGTGCATATGCATACATACATACACACGTGTGTGTGTGTGTATATACACTCTACTCACTAGGTCTGGTGGGAGATGTAGGCTGGTGACACTGGGAAAGCCACAGTTTCTCATCCCTCTCCTGGACAATCATGACCTCCAGGAGTACATTTCTGAAAGATGTGTGTGTGTGAGAGAGATCTAGCATCTTTCAGAAATGTACTCCTGGAGGTCATGATTGTCCAGGAGAGGGATGAGAAACTGTGGCTTTCCCAGTGTCACCAGCCTACATCTCCCACCAGACCTAGTGAGTAGAGCCAGTGGTGAGGAATAACAGCTGTGGTTGAGCAATTCTTTGTGAGGGATGCATATTGCCTCCCCCTAAAGTAGGGGATATTTGTGTGCAAGTGATGTGTACAAAAGCTTTCTGTAAATGCAAAATGCCATGGAAAATTTAGTAGTGATTAACTGTCCCCTATACTCTAAATCATGGTTGGGGACTCTGCAATACCTACAGATATCATTAGACTACAGCCCCTATCATCCCTGGCCATTAGGCATGTTTGGGATGGCATGAGCCAATGGGAGATGAAGAACAGGCAGAGAGTAGCAGCGTCCATAAATTTGTTCTGCATTAGGGAAGGGAGATATTAGGGAATCTGGGGATGTGTGTGTTTAGTCGTTTAGTCGTGTCCGACTCTTCGTGACCCCATGGACCAGAGCACGCCAGGCCCTCCTGTCTTCTACTGCCTCCCGGAGTTGTGTCAGGCTCATGTTGGTTGCTTCGCAGACACTGTCCAGCCATCTCATCCTCGGTCGTCCCCTTCTCCTCTTGCCATCACACTTTCCCAACATCAGGGTCTTTTCCAGGGAGTCTTTTCTTCTCATTAGATGGCCAAAGTACTGGAGCCTCAGCTTCAGGATCTGCCCTTCCAGTGAGCAGGGTTGATTTCCTTTAGAACTGATAGGTTTGTTCTCCTTGCAGTCCAGGGGATTCTCAAGAGCCTCCTCCAGCACCACAATTCAAAGGCATCAATTCTTCGGCGGTCTGCTTTCTTTATGGTCCAGCTCTCACTTCCATACATCACGACAGGAAAAACCATAGCTTTGACTATTCGGACTTTTGTTGGCAAGGTGATGTCTCTGCTTTTCAAGATGCTGTCCAGATTTGTCATCGCTTTCCTCCCAAGAAGAAGGCGCCTTTTAATTTCAGGGCTGCTGTCTGGGGATAGTTCCTCCCTTAGGGACCTGTTGTAAGCTACACCTCTTCCATTTTTTTCATATCCAAAAGTGACCAGAGGTTTTGAAGGGAGAGCACCCTTCCCAGTGAAAGCTAGACCCTGGGTGGGAATTTCCAGGAACTGACTGTTTTTCAATTTATTTATTTTTCCCATCATCAGGCCATTTGTGGGAAACAGAGGGTAGGAAATGGGTAGGAACACGTGTAGCCTTCAGGTCTGCCTGTAAATGACTTTAGAAGACTCATACACAACTTTATACGCAATAGCTAATCAATATGGGGACCAGACGGAGGGTCCCAGTTAAAACCTTTGGAGGCCAAATATGTCCTTGCCTGGTTCATATGTCTTTGAAATATTGCTACCCTCTAATCCAACATCTCAACAATTTGCTAATGTCAGATGGTGTTTGTTTTTGACAGATTGAGAAGAATCACTTGTTTCACATGGCTACTGTCAAGATGGCAGAGGCAAATGCATCATCTTCCTCCATTGCTACTACAGCACTGGGAAAAGCAAGCCTTTCAAAAGAGATGATTATGCTCTTATGTATCCCTATAGCGGTTATGGGATTAATTGGAAATGGAATTGTCATCTGTCTTTTCTGCTACCGACACAAGAATTCTAGGTTTTTTCTGTATTTTCAGAATATTGCTTTTGCTAATATTATTGTACTTATTGATGTATTTGTGGTTTTCCAGAGGACTTATTTTCATACAGTTATTAAGCCTTTTGTTGTACATCTAGTAGAGATGCTACAGACATTAGGGTACAACACGAGGTTCTATATCTTAACAGCAGTCTGTGTTGAGAGGTGTCTCATCATCTTCTCGCGAGCTTGGAATAAACGTTACCGGCCACAGCACATGGCAATCATGGTGTGCGGCACTTTGTGGAGCTTGTCTTGCCTGACCTCCGTGGTGGATAATTTGGCCTGCTCCACAGATTTCATCACCACTTATGAACAATTTGCAATTGACTGTAAAACTGCAAGTCTAATAAGCATCATCGTTGATTTAGCAATTTTTCTCCCCGTCACTATTCTCTCCACTTTCGCCATTTTGATCAGGACTCAGACACAGCAAGTGCCATCAGCAAGCCTTGATGTCACCATTGAGGCCATTGTTATTCTTTATCTTCTAACTGACACACCAGTTAGAATTACTCATAATATTATATATTGGTTTCAAGAAATAGATGTGTTTCTTTTGATTACAATTACTCAGTTATTAGATTCCATCAACTGTGCTGTTAATCCATTGATCCTTGTAATTGTTGGATATTGGAAGAAAACTCCAGAAGAGCCTTTCTCTCTGTTACTTGAAAAAGCTTTGGAAGCTGAAGAAAACATGGCACCGAGAACAGAAGCAGATGAAGAGCCAGCCTGAGAATTTTGGTGAGCTTCAAAAACCAAATCCTTTTACTGCAACGAATACATCTATAAACTGATGAATGCCTTCTAGAGAAATGGTTTGGCACAAGTTGTGGTTCATAAGAAATAATAAATCTTATTTATTTGTCCTATCTTCTATTGTACAGTAAAAAAAACATAATGCAGGCATGCTGGTGGTCCAATCTAAGCTTTTTTCCATCTAAGACACCTTGTATTTTCCATAAGCTGGTGTGCTTTAAGTTCTTGTGTGTTTATTCTCAGTACAAGAAGAGTGACTACTTCTACACTGCTGAGACAGAGAAAAGGCATAGTCAATAAAAGAGGATTAAAGAGGGCATAGGTTTGTACAAAATGTTCACATGCTAATTGATATGTATAGATGAAAAATTGGACTCCCATTTACGTAACAAGCAGTCATCTGCAAACTCACACATATTGGGCATTCCTATGCCAGTGCAGGCAATTCAGAATTTTCTACAGATTTTCATGTAGACTCATGAACGTTTTGAAATGAAACAGATAGCTGTCAAGTACACTCAGAAAAAGGGATGTGTGAGTTGCTGGTTTTAGTGTCAAGTTCCACACCAAAGCTGGAGTATGTATAAATCTGTCTTAAATATCTGAAGTAGAACCATTTCTCTAGGATTCTTGGATGCCTCTAAGATACTAAGGGCCTCCTTTGGAAAGTCAGATATATGGAAATATCTTCCAGGCATAAAGAAATGAAGACTTTGGTGACAGACCTCCACACTGTTGATAGTTAGTAGGCTTATTATTGACAATATTTATTTGTGTTAAGACACTAGGATAAGACACAACCCAAACTGAGCCACAGAGAAGTTACTAATATGCAATTTTCACTACATATCTTTATCTTTTCCAATGTCCTTCTGATTAGCGATATAAATGGGAAAGGCACAAAAAAGCAGGCTGCTCCAGTTTAAGCGTGAAAGCATTTCCCAGTTATGTTTTCTAGTGGTGTTTTTTGGAGTAATAATGTTGTGATTTTGTGTTTGCTTGTGCCATCAAAGGTCTATGAATATGATTCACTACGTCTAAAAGAGCAGGTGTAAGTTCACAGGAGACAGTGAGTCAGTTGTGACTCAGTGACATGGAATGATTTAGGATGCTAGCTTTGACAGGGCCCTTGTTCTGGTCTTCTGAGAGATGAAACGTGACCAATCAAACATTCTAGCATTGGCACTAAGTGTTATGTTGTGGCTCCAGACACTACAACTGCTTCAGCATACTTTTTTTGTTCGACAGACGACATGACATACACAAGACACACATTCAATAAATACCCATAACTCTGCCCCCTAATCAAACCCACATCACCTCATTACAAGGTTCACCTGTCTCCTACAGCTGTCAGAAACCTTTAAAGTGCCCGATACACTACACCCCTCCCCCCTAAGACAAGATTGTACCTGCTTACAATGATAGTCTTGCAAATAGCAGGGAGGTGCCTGTACTCGCTGAGAACATCTTAAACCATTATCTTCAGCCTGCCCATTGGGACCCAATGGATCGGGCTGTTCCAACGTTGATGCCTCCGCAAGTTCCCCAGCATAACTACCCTCTGGTCTTAACATTGTTAGTGGATCTATAATGGGCTGTGGCATGACCTCTACTGTCCGAGGATGCCCTGGCTTCCGTTGTCTCTGTCTCTAGGTCGTCCTCAGCTGCTGACATCCTCCTTAGCCATCTCTACCACAGTTGGTCCACATGATGTTGCGATTCCTGGTCCTCAGGCATTGTCACTCAATATGACACCGGCCCCATTGGCATAGCTATTGTTGCTGGTACCCAGTCAGGACCCCTACCATAATTACAGGCATAAACAGATCCCCAGGGTGAAAAACCCGCACTTTTCCCCCTACTTGTTGTGATTCTTCTGCTGACAAGTCTGGGTGTGACCTATCAAGGATCATAGTCAGCTTTCTATTCATTAAAAGCTCCACTGGACTACACCTGGTTGTAGAATGGGGTGTAATATGTTGTTGCAACAACAATGCTGCCAACCGGTCTTGCCAATTCCCTCTAGAGTGTCTTTCACTGTCCTTACCATTCTCTCTGCCTGTCCATTAATAGATGAGCGAAAGGGAGCTGATGTCACATGCCGAATAGCATTATCTCCCATAGACCGCTGAAATTCTGCTGACATGAACTGAGCCCCATTATCTGAAACAATAGCGTCCAACAAACCATGTATCACATGAAGCCTCTGAAGTGTACAAACAACAATGGTTGTGGACATACTGGACACAGGGACTACCTCCAACCATTTAGAAAAAGCATCCACAACAATAAAATCCTTGCCCCTGAAAGGAACCAGCAAAATCTATGTGGAGTCGGGACCAAGGGCCTTGTGCTGCCTCCCATGGGTAGATGGGAGCCTGCGCTGGTGATGGTCTCGACTCCTGACAAGAATGAACCCATTCTTCAATGGTCTTATCCGTCTTAGGCCACCAAACATAACTATGGGCTAGTGCCTTCGTATACACTATACTTGGGTGACCAACATGTAGTGCCTCAATCACTCGTTGTTGGAATAACTCAACTTCCCCATAGCAAACAGCCTTTGTGCACTGAGAGTTTGTTCTGTCTACAACTAAATGGCTGAAACTCTTCCGTCATTTGCCCTCTGGCCATCCCTTCCACACCCAATTAAGGACATGGGCTAGCGTGCAGTCCTTAGCTGTGTGAGCTGCTATGTCGGTAACCCGCACTGGGGGCCAAGACACCTCTTCCAGTAATAACACATGGTGAGCTGGTGTCAGATCAAGAGCTGGATCTGGCAACGAGAGTCAACTGAGGGCATCAGAATGACCTAACACCTTACCCGGGCGGTGCCTCAGATCATAAGAATAAGCTGAAAAAAACAGTCCACCGCAGCATTCATGGGGGCAAAATCTGTGGATTCTGTTTCTCTAGAGTAAAAATTCCTAAAAAACATTTATGATCTGTAATAACAAAATGCTGCCCGTACAAGTAATCATTTCTTAACCCTAGCCACAATAGCCAAAGCTTCCTTGTCAATTTGAGCATAATTATGCTCTGCTGGTGACAAGGTCCATGAAAAATAAGCAATAGGTGCCTCCTGACCATTTGGCATTTTGTGACTAAGGACTGCCCCGATTTCATATGGGGAGGCATCTGCAGCCAAAAGAAGTGGCTTCTTCTCATCAAAGTGTGTCAAAACACTTTCTGAGGACAACAACTCCTTAACTGCCCTAAAAGCCCTAGCTTCCTCCCTGCCCCAATTCCAAACGGTGGACAATTCTAAAAGGCAATATAACGGCTCTGCCACTGATGCCTTATAAGGTAAAAAAGCATGATAAAAATTCAACAGCCCCCCAAAGGACTGCATTTCCTTTCTTGTTGTAAGCTCTAGTGCACTGCATATAGCCCGGACCTTGATAATTGTAAGGACGAGTGCTGATTGGCTTGCCAACACTGACAAGTGAGGACATGCAGAAGCATGTACTTTGATTAGTCTAGTAGTGGTAGTAAAAATAATTTCCCTCCCTCCGTCTCTCTTTCTCCCTCTTTCCTCTCCTCTCTCTCATGCACAGAAGAAGATCTGGAGTGTCTCTTCCCTCCCATGTTCTACACCCCATGCTGAATGTCTAGACGGGTAAAAACAGGCAGAAGATGATGTTGGTTTCTTTCTTTTAATAACAAGCAATTATTGTGTAAATAGAAACTGCATTGAAAACCTTTGCCTCTCTTACAGCATATGAAGCAGAGGGAAAATAAGACATACCGTATGTCTTATTTTCCCTCTGCTTATCATAGTAATCATAGTATTGGTTAAATAGCTCTTTAAAATTGGCCTTGAGGATGCACATTGTATGTGAACTGTCTATTCTCCATCTACTGTATGGCATAGAATCAGACAACCATTAAAAAGACAGAAGCATTGTTTGACTGAGAGGATGATCAGTAAATAAACACTAAGGTGGATAAATCAGGAAGTACAAAAGCTAAACAAATAAATGAATAAATCAGTGAACCAAGAAATCATAAAGCACTCAGAAAACTAGAATACTTTGGATACATAATGAAAAATAAAAGTGCAGATTTTTATGGCTTATCGATCAAAATAAAACAAATAGGGAAAAACATGCAAGAGAAAACTTATTGGCTGAAAACTGTATATATACAAACTTTGAAGAGGAATTACGTTGTCCAATAGGAAAATAACAAGAAAAGCAAATCTTCAAGAATTTGTTTAAACCATGGTTCCCAACCTTGGGTCCCCAGATGTTCTTGTACTAAAACTTCCAGAAATCTTTGCCACTAGCTATGCTGGCCAGGATTTCTGGGAGTTGTAGTTTAAGAACATCTGGAGACCCAAGGTTAGAAAACACTATGGCAGACCAATGATGGTGGGGCAAGTAGCTGCTTTCTCAAAAATACAGGTAGTGTACATCATATGCTGCATGTGTGGTGGCCAGGATTTCTGGGAGTTGTAGTCCAAGAACATCTGAGGACCTGAGACTGGGAATCACTGTGTTAAGAGGAGTAAATCCCATACTATGATGGATATTCAGATGTTCCCTGTAGGGGAAACCCAATGTACTTTCCATGGGAAGAGTGTTTCACAGAATAGGTGCCATCATAAAAAAACAAAGTTGCTTCTACTGTATGTTAATCTTACATCTGGTAGAGATGGCTAGATAGAAGTAGCTTTCAACTAGCTCTCATTTCAAAGAGACTGGAGGTGGGGTTAATAAGGGTTAATTAATGTATTGTCATAACCAAACAGATGGGGCTTTGAAAACTTAAATTAAGTACCTTGTGCTTAAACAGATAAACAGATCCTCTAGATCCTCTCCCCCTCCCCCACTCATGGTTTTTGTATCCTCTCTACTCTCATCCTATGCAAGCTAGAAGAAAAGTTGCTACGGCTGATAACAACCAAAGATTAGTTCTTAAGTCAAAATGTTCTTAACTCAAGTAGTTCTTAAGTCAAGACCCCACTGTAAACAGATCCTCTAGATCATCTCCCCCTCCCCCACTCATGGTTTTTCTATCCTCTCTACTCTCATCCTATGCAAACTAGAAGAAAATTTGCTACGGCTGATAACAACCAAAGATTAGCAAGAGAACTAAGGAAAACAAGAAGGATGACAAACAGTCCTTATCTCTTTCTAGGTACAGTACAAGGCCTTGAACTGGAATGAGACTAAAATGGATTCAGGGTGATTCCATTGTTGCTAACAAGTGAATTCACACTGTTCCTACCTACGGCTATGAGGTCATGAGATTCTAGTATTCCATTTGTTGTACAGGATACAAATCATAGTAGCAGAGTGTCCTGTATTTTCACAAGATTATATAACAGTGAAGAGCAAAGCATGATAAAAGAAGGTATAGAATTGGAACATGACAAGGTTAGTATTGACTTTTCTAGTTTGCAGCTGCTTATGCCTATTGGAATTTTTTTAGCCAATAACCTAAATTCCTTTTACTCACGCATCATTTTGTATCTGTTTAAAAACGTTTGTAGTAACATCCAGAGATAATTTTGGGAATGCCTGATTTCTCCTTTAAGAAACACAGTCAGAGAAGAGGTTGCTAAACAAATTACTACAGCAATAATATACCTCCAATGTCTTGATAGATGGGAGGTATGACCAGAACAGTAGATAAAAAAAGCAGGGAAAACCAAAGAAAGCCTAATCTTCATCAGCTACTTCCTGTTATATGAACTCCTGTTGAAAAATAAGATTAATTTCTTCTCAGTTTCAAATGTCATTCATACTAAGTTTACCAAAGGAAGCTCAGTGTCTTAATGGGCAGCAGCTCCAGATTGACCGATGGGATACCCACAAACTTTGATCCGCTAGCTGGATTTCAGTAAGCCTGTGATCACAGTTAGCTGGGTTCATATAATGGCTGTGAATGTTGACCAGATGATTCAATAGAATGGTGTTCCTCTGAATGATGTGTAGAAATCTGCTTGCTGTGCTTTAAAATATTTTTTTCCTTTGGTGTCTGTTGCTGCCCTACAGAAGTGGGACTCATAGGCATACCAATTCAATTACATTGGCCAAAAGCCAGTAGAAAGTTGCAACTAGAGTAAGCCCAATGAATCAGTGGGAATTTACTGAGTTAACTCTTTTGTCAGTTCTATTGATTCAATAAGCCTACTCTAGTTGTAACTTACTACTGGATTTCAGCTACTAAGATATCACAAAATACAGTGGTGCAGGACTAAAAAGCCCATAGGAACGCATTAAAACACGTTTAATGTGTTCCTATGGGGGAAAAACTCACCGCTATGTGGAAATCCTCCATATGGCTGCCATTTTCGCCGCCCAGTATGCGAGGAAACTGCGCAAAATCGCTGCAGGCGGCCATTTTGTTTACCCGGCGGCCATTTTGGAACTGCTGATCAGCTGTTTTTAAAACATCGCAATGCGAAGATCGGTAAGCGAAACACTTACCGATCATCGCAATGCGATTTTTGGCCATTTAAAACGTCGCAATGCGATTGCTTTTGCGATCGCAAAATCCACATTGCTATGCGGATTCGTCATTAAACGGGGCGCTCATTAAGCGAGGCACCACTGTAATACTACTTGATAGACGTATCAGACAAGTAGTGTGCAGCAGAAGGGAGAAGGAAAGGGTGAGGGAGAAAGATCGGCTGGCACTAAGGTGCAGAATGATACTATTCTGTAATGCAGGAAAATCCATTCACCATGAGTCTGGACTAATTTACCATAACTCATGGATGACTGATATTCACTTTGTATCAATGGATTTTGCAGAAGAAAGGGGCCTTGTGTTTGCAGGGAAATAATGAAAAGTCACACTGTGCTTTGACATGTATCCAGCCATCATAATGTCCACTAATTGAAGGTTGAAATCTATCCTCACAATATGATAGTGAACAGCTAGCTGTGGAGTTAGATATACAAAGCAGGTCTTTTTCATTCCAAACTTTTGGAAGGTGAGTGATAAAACACCAGCGTCCTTTCTTACAGTATTTCCAAATGTGTCCTATCTCTTTTACAACATCTCAAGACAAGACCTTAGTAACAGCAACATGTTTTATTTTGGCAGGTTGAGAAAAATGATGGACCATCATGTTGACAGAGACAAACACCTGGTCTTCCCCCAGTGTAGCAGCATCCAACAAAACAAAGAACCTTGCTTTTTTTTTCTGCCAAGAAAGTAGCCACATATTTTAGAAGGAAGAATGCTGGCCACAACCCTTCCAATCAGCGTCCTAGGGACAATAGGGAATTTGATTCTTTTATGGCTTTTCTGCTGTAGGATTCAGAAGACACGGTTAACTCTGTATTTTTTGAATTTGACAATCGCTAATCTTATTATTATTTTCTGCAACGTTGTTGTGGTTATTACATATTTCACACGACTGTATCCCAGCTTGATATTTCAACGTGTGATGCAAATTCTGCATATATGTGGATTTGACACCAACTTTTATTTTATTACTGTTATTGCAGTGGAAAGGTATCTTACTGCTACTTCTCCAGCCTGGTATCAGCATCATCGGCCTAAAAATTTATCCGTTGCAATGTGCATTTTTTTGTGGGGACTGTCCTGCGTAGTGTCGTTAGTGAACTATTATGGCTGCAATCCAAGATTCGACATAAACCTTAACACACTTCTTGTCAATTGCAAAGCTGCCAATATAATTGAAATCATCATTGAGTTGATTTTTTTCCTTCCCATCATGGTCTGTTTCACTTTGGCCATTTGGATCCGGATGCATACAAGAAACCAGCAAACCCCACTAGCAAGAATTGATGTCACCATTGTGGCCCTCGTTTTTCTTTTTCTTATAGTTAATGCACCAGTTAGAATCGCCAATATTATAGCAGCCTGGGTTTTCAAGGTTGATCTGTTTCTTTTAGGAAAGATTTCTCTGTTAATGGATTCTTTCCACAGTGCTAGCAACCCTTTTGTATTCATTATTGTTGGATTTTGGAAAATGCCAAAGTCCATCAAACTCACCTTTATGTTTCTTGAGACAGCTTTGAAAGATGAAGGGTGCATGGCAGAGAAAACAAAAGCAGACCACGAGCAAGCCTGAAAAAGTCCTTTTGCATAAAAGAATACTGGCTTCCAATCTTAGGTCCAGAATAAATTATTGTTTTCTACAAACGTACGAGCACACTGTTCATTAATACGCTCATCTAGGCAAAATATTAGTGTCACCGCCACTTTGGCTGCCTTCTTAGGCAAAGGCAGCAGATGGATGGACATCTAAAATATTAGAGATAGCTTGTCCCTAGAAGAAGAGATTCCTTAAGTACTGGTTGTGTGTGATTGTCACAACAAAGTTCTCCCCTTCTGTAATCTACAAATTAGCTTTGTTTCGTGGATGGTCTTTTTAAGACAGCCTAATTTCAAAGTCACGTCTTTTAACACTGAATATAATTTAATGATAGCCAATGTTTACTTTAACCACAGGAGAGTTTGAGACAAGAGAATCCTAGCCAGAGCTGTGATGAGCAGAGGTAAGCGAGCCATAAGATAGCCGTGTGTCCTACTTTACAGAGGGTTGTCTGCTACTTGAAGGCATCTTCCTGTTGAATGACTGTCCAGTGAAGGCCTGGCTTAGCTATAAGGAAGCACAAGCTGATGAATGGGAGAGCAGGCACCTTGAACTTCCTATTCAACACTCACCATGCACACAGTTCCCTTGGTCATAGTTTTTGCCTCCATAGTGAGATTTCTGTTTATAGCAATTATTTCTGGATTTGCATGCATATGTACTGGCATCTACACAGCTCATCCAAATTTTAAATATTTTAAAAGGTTTCTAAAATATTTTTATTTTGTGTTTCCTCTTTTTTAGCAACACACGCTTAACCCTTTAAAGACAACAGGAGCAAACCTAAGAAGCCCTGGTGCAGAAGTTAAATGCCAGTTATAAAATGTAGAGAAACTCATTGTGACAACCCCAGACCTACTGGGATATGCCACAGTTTAACTAAGCTGCCACCAACCATTCCCTGTAAGGAGTCTCACAGACCAGGAATGGATTTTCAACAAACAAAGGAATAAGGTTTATTTAAATAACACACAGGGAAAATAAAATGATCAAGTGAATAAGATACAGTAACGTGGCTTAGTCTCAATCATACATACACCAGTTTGGTTCACACAGAACACCTTTAAATAAAGCACAGACCCTGAACCTATCAGTTCTGGCTACCCATACAGACACCTGAACCTATCAGGTTGGTACTGACTGACACACAGTAGTACCCTGTCTGACACACAGACTCCCACACCAGCTTCTTCTTCTCAGCTCCTTCTTCTTCTCCACACAAGCTCCACATATATATACAGTACAGCCCCTCCTCCTGATGTCCCGCCTTCCACTCCCCATAGGATGGAACTTTCCCTCCAAACCCATGACAGACAGGTACCATCAGTGCTGTATGTAACACCTCCCCTCTTTATAAGTTGTTTTGTAGGGGGAAAGCTAAAGTGCTTTTCTCCAAAAAACAACCTGGATCCAAAACATACAAAAACAGTTATACAATAACATACAATACCATACTTACTCTAGGATAAACATATCAATTAGGCATTTAAACATTTACCATTTACAATACATCAAGTTACCTTTATTCATACAAACCAA